AAACTTGTGCTATAATACCATCTACTGGAAAACAAAAGAAAGTACCCTATGTCTCAAACTCAACTGTTGAGAGTAAAACAGTATCTAAACAAGAAATACGTTCACTAGCTCAAATGTGCAGCCAGAGAAACAGTTCACTAAATACTATGAAAAACCAAGGTAATATGGTAGTACAGGAAAAAAGTGAAATCTCCAGAAACCAAAGTCATGGAAGACTGTGATTTAAAAATGATGGCAAAAATAAGATTGCATTTGTGAAGCTCCATAGGACACTAGAGATCCCTGGAAAACCATTCCATGAGCTTAGAAATAAAATCAATGAACAAAAGGAGCACTTTACCAAAGGGATTAAAAGTATAAAAAAAAAAGAACTGAACAGATATTCTGGAGATGAAGAACTCAATAAATGAAATGAAGAATGCACTAGAGAGCACTGGAAACAGAGCAGACCAGATGGAAGAAACAATCGGCAAGCTTGAAGACAGAAACCTAGAAATGACGCCCAAGGAAGAGGATAATTTAAGAGCAAAAATAGAAAAAAAAACAAAGACCTCTAGAAGAACTATTGTGCTCCATTATAAAACGTAACATAAGAATAATGGCTATACCAGAAGAATAAGAGAGGGACAAGAAAACAGAGAGCCTATTCAAAGAAATGAGTGATGAAAACTTTCCAAGCCTATGGAAATAACTAAACTTAAAATAGAAAAGCTAACAGAACACCTAAATATTTCAACACAAATATCTTCTCCAAGACACATTTTATTTAAACTGTTAAGAATAACAGAGTTCTCAAGGAAACAAGGGGGGAAAGACTGTAACCTGTAACATACAAAGAAAACCCCATTAAATTATCATCAGATTTTTCAGTAGAAACACTACAAGCCAGGAGAGAGCGAGAGGAAATATTAAAAATATTGAAAAAGAGGAACCAACAGCAGCCAAGGATAACATATCCAGAAGTTATCCTTTAGATATGAAGAAATAAAGGTTTTCCCAAACAACAAAAGCTGAGAGAATTTACCATCATAAAATATGCATTACAAGAAATGTTAAAAGGAGCTCTTCTGGAAACAAAAAGAGAAAGGATAGAAAACTTCCAGTAAAATAACTAACAGGGAGACAAGCAGGGAATTGCAACTTTACTTCAGAATAGGACAATAAGTACTTACAACAAAAAGTTAAAGGGTGAAAAGGGGCATTTAAAATAACCATCACTACTGCAATTGGTAATGAATGCACAACATGAAAGGAGATAATTTGTGACAAGTCATAATAGGGGAGGAGGAAAAGGACTGAATGTGAACAGGTGAATGAACATAAGAGGCAATTAGAAGAAAAAGGACTATTGTATGTATGAGACTTTTTTTTACAAACCTAATGATAACCACAAAACAAAAGTCCAGAGCTGCACAAAACCTTATAAAAAAAGGCAGAGAAAACAAACAAAAAATCAAGAAAACCATCAAACTAAAATAGTAGACAGAAACACAAGGAAAAAGAAACAATGGATACGGAGCAACCAGAAAATAAAAAATAAAATGGCTGTAGTATTTTATCATCGCCCTGAAAGTAAATAAACTGAACTCATCAATCAACAGGCACAGAATAGTGTGGTAAGTTAAAAACACAAGACCCAACTATAAGTTGCCCACAGAAGACTCATCTCAGTTTCAGAGACAAGCAAAGACTCAGAGTGAAGAGGTGGAAGATGATACTCCAAGCCATGGCATCCAGAGAAAAGCAGGTGTAGTGGTACTCATATCAGACAAAACAGACTTAAAAAAGTTAAAAAAGGCAGTAAGAGACAAAGATGGATATTTTATGATGGAGGAAACAATTCATCAGGAAGAGGTAACACTTACCAACATGTATGTACCCAACCAGAGAGCACCAAAATATATAAAGCAATCATGAACAGACCTAAAGAAAGAAAATGATAAAAATACAATTATAGTAAGGGACCAGGATACCCCACTCACAACAAGTAGACAGAAAGTCAATAAGGCAATATAGGCCTTAAATGATACATCAGACTAAACTGACTTAATTGATATTGATAGAACTTTTCATCCCAAAACAAAATATAAATTCCTCTCAAGGGCACAAAGAACATTCTCAAGTACAAACCATATGTTGAGGCACAAAACTAGTCTCAATAAATTAAAGAAGTTGAAATCAGACCAAGCATATTTTCTAAACCTAACAATATAAAACTAGAAATAAGTTACAAGAAAGCTGGGGGAAACTATTGATCTGGAGATTAAACACGCTACTAAAAACAGCTGGGTCAAAGAGGATACAAGAAATCAAAAGAAACACACACACAAATAAAAATGAAATATGACACACCAAAAATTTTAAGATGCAGTAAAAACAGTATTAACAGGGAAGTGTACAGCTTTTCCAGCCTACGTTAAGAAACAAGAAAAATCTCCAATAAACTCCCTAATGTTACACCTTAAAGAACTAGAAAAGAACAAAATCCAGTCAGTGGAAGAAAGCAATTAATAAAAATCAGAGCAGAAATAAATGAATATAGAATATAAAGGCAATATTAAAAAAATTAATGAAACAAAGAGCTGGCTCTTTGGAAAGAGAAAGAAAATTGACATACCTCTAGCCAAACTCATTAAGGAGAAAAGAGAGAAGACAAATGAAAGCAAAGAAGTTAAAATGGACACAACAGAAATACAAAGAACTATGCAAGAATGCTGTGAAAAGACCGCATGCCACCAAATTCAATAATATAGAAGAAATGGAAAAAGTCTCAGAAGTATACAAACTTCCTAGACTAAATCATGAAGAAGGAAAACCTAAACAGACTTATCACTAGCAAGAAAATTGAAACAATAATCAAAAACTTCCCCCACCAAAAGAGTTCAGGACCATCGGTGAATTCTACCAAACATTCAAAGAAAATTTAATACCAATTCTTCTCAACCTCTTTCAAAAAATTGAAAAAGAGGGAATACTTCCTGACTCATTTTACAAGATCAACATTACCTTGATGCCAAAATCAGACAAGGATGAAACAAAAAAGAAAATTACAGGCCAATATCTCTGACGAACATAGATGCAAAAATCCTAAACAAAACAGTAATTGCAAATCAAATACAATAATACAGATAATAGGATAATGCAAATTGATTATCAGAGAGACCATACTCATGTAACTTTTATTACAGTATATTAATTGTTCTATTTTATTATTGTTGTTAATCTCTTACTGTGCCTAATTTATAAATTAAACTTTATCATAGGTATATATAGAAAAACACGCAGTATATGTAGGATTTAGTACCATCTGCAGTTTCAGGCATCCACTGGGGGTCTTGGAATATATCACTCCTGGATAACAGGGGACTGTATTTTAAATATAATTTCAAGCAGACTTTCATCACCATACACTCTTCTTTTTATAAGGATTTTATTTACTTTTTAGAGCGAAAGGAAGGGAGGGAGAAAGAGAGGGAGAGAAACATTAATGTGAGAGAGAAATATCCATCAGTCAGTTGCCTCTCACATGCCCCCACCTGGGGACCTGACCTGCAACCCAGGCATGTGCCCTGACCAAGAAGTAAACCAGTGACCTCCTGGTTCACAGGCTGGTGGTGCTCAATCCACTGAGCCACACCAGCCAGGGCACCATATACTTTTTTTTATTTCTATCACCTTACTCTTACTCCCTGAGAATAATATATTTAAAATAAAAACCAAACGAAATGGGTAGTCAAAGAATGCCTCAGTGATTTTTATATTGATGTGTGCTCAAAAATTCTTTACAATGAACCAAATAGTTTAAGTCATTACAGAAATAAAGAAAAAAAATGAGTGTAAGAATTTTAGTAGTTGATCCACTTCAACATTTACCTTGGATTCTGGTACTTGGGAGTTTTATATAAGTACAATTTTTATAAAAGCCAATGATGGTTTGATCTTGTGTATAAATGTTATTTATTTAGCATAGATTTAAAGATAACTTTCTGAAAAAAAACGAAAAGAATTTTGGTAGGAATAGTGACCCCAGAGAAATTAAAAAACATCTAACTAAAACAAAGTTTCAATGATACTACCTTTCAGATAATTACTTTAAAAATGATTTTACATTTACTATAAACTGTGCTAGAAATAGGAATTAAAACAATTGATAGGTTGACAAACCAAAAAAAAAATTAGTTTCAGAATGTGTTAATATTTTGTTAGAAAAACAAATTTAAAGAAATATATTGTAAAAATAATCTATCTGTGCCACTTAATATTATCAGAAACAAATTAATGTTGAAAGCAAATATATGTACATGAGTATGCATGCACACACATACTCCACACACAAAACATTTAAAAAATACCACTCAAATTTAATGCATTAGATCTTACCAAATCTTAAAAAAACTTTGGGGTATCAGTAAACTCAAGTTATCTGTTTGTGTGTCTCTCAAGGTGTTTGTGGATTCTCTTCCTTTACCTGTAAGTTTAAATATCAGTTCTGGAAAATGAAAACGCTATTTCAAATGTAAACCTGATGAAAATAAATAATTGTAATAGACTACAAAACCAGATATGAATTGATTTTGCTAGTCAAACGTATTGGCTAGCAAATACAATGGCTAGCAAATGTATTGGATTATTATTATACCTTTTTTTTTTAAATATGAAAAGACAACCAAAACAATCAGAGTTTACATTTGGAAACTATTTACCTCATCATCACATCCCTAGGTTCATTGTGTGAAATATCAAAATAAAATGTTTTACTCTTTTCTATTTTTTAAGTCTGCATTTAGTTTAGAACTAAGAAAAACTTGACTTCAAATAATACAAATAGTAACAATTTAAGACATTTACTATAACCTGATTTTTAAGGATTTCTTTAAAGTTTTGATCAAGAAAACCATATTATAAATTCAAAGGACAACTTTCCAAAACTTGCCTTCTAATTTAATAAAGGACTTCTTGAATAAGAAACTTATAACAAAGCCAAAATTGATTAAATTTAAAACGTCTTTATTCATTTATAGGTAAATACTGCCCCCTACTAAAAAATAATGACATTATCTTACAATCTGTCAAGCTTAGCTAGAAAATTCATGTGTCTCTTTTTTGTATCATATGTTAACATGATATAAGATGCAGGATTCAAAAATCAATTTTAATTGGCATTATTAAATAATTTCACGCATATACAGAATCTTGGATGTTAATGTGGGCACATGAATATTCCATATATACCAATGAACTTAATAGAAGATGTGTTTTCACTAATTTCCGATAACCAACATATATTCTGTGGCTCTTTAAATACCCAATTCCAAATCTTCCAGCTCCTGGAGAAGGGCTTTTTCTTTTTGAATTTTCTCCAACTAGAAAAATTTAAAACAATGAAGTTATTAAATAGGAAATATTATTGGCTCTATAGACAAAATAGTAAAGAATAAAATATTTAGAGAGTATTTCTAACACTTTATTGGATCCACTGGTAAATACAGATTTAAAACTGCAGATTAGAAACAAGTTCTAATTTGTTATCTGGTATGAATCAAGGGGGCAAAGGAGAGGAGCTGTCTTACTGCATTCCTTCAGTTCCAGTAAATCTTCCATTCTATACGTGGGCTTAAAAGTGCTGAGATAAGGGGGAGGGGAAGGGGCAAAAGAAGACCAGTGCAACCTGAGATATACAAGAAAGAGAATCTTATATTTGTCTAACATAATAACTGCTCTTATTTTCAGCAGCAATGGCATTAATACATATTTTACATAATGACTTTCTCACTCACTATGATCTATATCATGTTTCCCCATCCTTCCCTAAGAGTAAAAACATTAAAAAAAAAGGGCATATAATTATATGCCAAAAGAAGTTATACGATCTATGTGCTCTTTTGCCCAATTAAACAATTGCTCATTATACAAAGGGGAAAAGGTAATCATGACTATGAACCCAAATAAAAAATGCAGACCTGATTTTTTTCTAGCTGTTTTCCAGTTGCTGCTTGTTCTTTCAATTGTTCGATTGCTTTCAGTTTCTGCAAACATCAAATATATTATGAGTAAAGGGGAAGGAAGAATAAGTCATATTAGAATGTACCATATTCTGCTGTATATAATGTGCTCCCATGTATAATGTGCACCCAACATTTTTTGGCACAAACTTTCAGGGAAAAAATCTTTCAATTTTTTAGTCCATTTATTTATTTATTTATTTATATTTACTTATTCTTTGTATTATAAAGGAATTTTAGAATTTATTTTGAACATATTAAGCTTCAAATATAAAGTTAGCATTATCTATGTTATCAACTGGATAACAATGGCATCATCTATTTTACTCTGTGGATAAAAATACATCTTAGTTTCATTTTGTTGAATAGTTGGTTGAAACCGCTTCACAGGCATTCACAGGGTATTATTGTATTCACAGGGTATTATTTTGCATATGGATATCATTATTGCTTTCTAGAGTTACGCTTTTAATGCGTAAGTGTAAATAAAAGAATTAAAAACATTTATATAGATATAGAATTAGTACTACCCATTTATAATGTGCATCCTGATTTTTCCCTGAAAAATTTGGGCAAAAATGTGCACATTATACACAGCAAAATACGGTAAATTTCCTTACCAACAACTCAATCATATGAATGTGAACCCTGAATAAGGAGAACAATTATCTTACATTTGTATTAAGAACAGTCTGTTAAAATGATAAGGTAAACTATTTTTTAAAATTAAATGTAAAATTAGATATGTTAAGAACATAGGGACATGTAAAGTACAGCATGTTGTCAGACGGGTACTAGACTTATTGGAGAGAACCATTTCACAAGTTATATAAATGTCTAACCTCTGTGTTATACAGCTGAAACTAATATAATACTGAATGTCAACTTGAATTGAAAAATGTCAAAATAAGTAAGTAAGCCCTGTCTGGTTAGTGAGTTGTCCAGGTACACCAAAGTTGCAGTTTGGATCTCTAGTCAGGGCACATACAAGAATTAACCAATGAATGCATCAATAAGTGGAACAACAAATTGGTATTTCTCTCTTTCTTCCTTCCCCTCTCTTCTAAAATCAGTAAAAATAATACATACGCATATATATACATACATAAGTTCCAGCTCTGAAAATAATAAGACCATGGGATTTGACAAAATACATTCCGAGCTTTTAAGGAATGTTATATATGTATTGGGGTGGTCAAAAAGTTAATTTTTTTCCCCCTGTAAAATAGCTCTAGTAATGCTTAGTTGTCTTTAGCTTCATTTGAAACAATTTTGTTAGATTGTATTGTGACAGCTGTTGTATTGCCATGCATTTAAAAAAAACTTAACAGAATTGGTGAATTTTTGTGCAGCCATTTTAGTATTGTAGATAGAAGAATATAGAGAACATTTTCAGCATATTATGCTTTATTTCAAGAAAGGTAAAAATGCAACTGAAACACAAAAAAAGATTTGTGCAGTGTAAGGAGAAGATTGCTATAATTGATCGAATGTGTCAAAGGTGGTTTGTGAAGTTTCGTGCTGGAGATTTCTTGCTATACAATGCTCCATGGTCAGGTAGATCAGCTGATATTGATAGTGATCAAATCCAGACATTAACTGAGAACAACTGACATTATACCACATGGGAGATAGCCGATACACTCAAAATATAAAAATCAGTAAAGTTATTGGTAAAAATGAAAAATGCGTCTTTTATTTTACGGAAGAAACTAAATGGACTTTTGGGCCAATATACGTATGCATATATGTATGTAAATATATATGTATAAATATATAACCAATTTCACCATTATTTTAGCACCTCATTGTACCTGGATGACATCTTTGGCTTAAAGGGCAACTATTGTTTTTGTGGTTTTTTTTTTAAAGATTTTTTAAATTGTTATTTTATTACAGTAGTCCCAATTTTTCCCCCTTTGCCCTCCTCCACCCACCCAATCTTCCATAAAAAGGGAAACTAAATAGTGCAGCCTAGGAAGGGCTCTAGAGACCTGGTTTTATTTCCACAAACTCATTGCAATTTGACAAACTAAGAAACTTCTTTTTCTGTTTCCTCATCTTTAAAACTGAGGTAAAGTTCTGTTCCTACCTGTCTCACATATGTCTAATGAAATACTAAGTATAAAGAGTTTAGCATATTTCTGTGCAAATGTATAGTATTTCTTATTACTCTAAAAATCAATAATAAAAAGACTAATAGCTATTAGACATTTGTGACTAGAACTTAAATCAGTGCCATTCCTATTACAGGATTTCACAGTGAGAAAGCAAAGAGAACTGCTATAAACTTCTTAGATGCCTACATTTAGCCATCTAAATATTACTTTTCTTTAGATAATTCTTACATATTTCCTTCAAAAAACGCATTTGATTTGCATTTAAATCTCTCACCTTCTTTAGGTTCTTGATTTTTTTGTCTACCTCAGGGTCTCCAGAGGTTGACTGAGAGACAGTATTTCGTGCTGAGCTCTGTGGCGCAGGAGTAGGTGCCAAATCTAGACCTTTTTCACTTCTTGCTTCCTGCAGGAAATATTTTCAAAAATTTAATTTTCTATATATCAAAGTATTTCAACTAAAACAGCCTTGGTACATAAAGAAACAAAAATGTAATTTTTATCTTGTATGCTGTTTTATATAAAGAGAGGATCTGAATGGAAGGCCTCATAAAGTATGTGACATTGTCCCATGATAAACAATGCAGCTTAAAAAAGGTCACAGTAGAATGATACAATTAAAAGGTTTTTCCTCTCTGTCATAGGGAACACTTTGGTAGATCTATAATTTAACGTAACATAACAAAAGTTTTTAAGAATATTATGTTAGAATATAATAAAAAAAAACAATGAAAAGAAACCAATGACCTTAACAGAGCAAACTGGGTGGTTTCTGTATCAGCCAATAAGCATTCAAAATTTCTGGATATTTTGGGAGGTGCCCATTATACAGATGCTTTGGAATGTGAGAAGGCTTTTCTAATTAAGGTATTTGAAGTTTCACTCTTGTGATATTCTCCAAAACTCTTGAGTATGCATGATCAAGTACATATAATGGATGATGCTACAGGACAAGTCCCATAGAGATTTATAATCAGTCCAATTTAATTTTGCAACATAGTGCCACAGAAAACTCCCCCCCCGCCCCCCCGAAAAGGATACTACATTGTCTGCAATGTGATCAGGCCTCTGATGACCTTTCTACTTCATCCCTTCTCACGGAGGTACCACTGATTCTGAACCACCTTTATTTACTGTAAGGGGCTATAAACTCTTGTTTCCTGGCCTTTGTGTTTACTATTCTTCCTTGTGCCTAGAATACCTTCAAATGACCTGGCTGACCCTACTTCCACTTTTGGCTTCCTGGAAAATTCCCCCACCTCCCAAGACCCAGACGAGTTGCCCAGCATGTGGCACGTAGCCATACTCCAATGCCGTATGCGAGCCTTCAGACTGCACCTGAGGTTTCCTTGTTCACTGTCTACTTGTGCCCTCAGCATAATATATGCTTTACTTTCATAAATAAATGAAAGAGAAAAAGAATGACATTCCTTTTGTATTTAAGACAAGACATACATTTTGACGAGAAAGAAGTTATTTAAGTTTTTATTGCCATCAAAATAGGGCTTCTACTTCTTCATACAGTTTCCAGTGGAATACACAGGACCTCAAGATTCCAAAACCTCTTACTCAGAGTTGCACTTTTTTGTACACTCCAATGCAGCAAAAATTAACTCCTTATTTTCTATGTGAGAACACATTATTGAACACTTTAAAAGTACTTAGAAACTATTTAGTTTCTACTCTTAAGAAGCCTGTAACTTCTGATAATATGTAGTCTGATATTTTTCATAATATAAAATGAGAAGATAAAAGGAGACTTTGCCTATCAAAATTCACTTCTGACATCAGATTAAAAAAATTTAAATTAGTTGTTTATAATGAGTTGAGAATATTAATTTTTCTACTAAGAGCGAAGGTTAATGTTATAAGTGTAAAAAACCATTAAAGTTAGGTGAAAAACAAAATTTAATTTTCTGTCATATTTTAAATAACCAAGAATAAGTTAAAATGTCTGCATTATTATACTTCTGGTCATTCTCTGGAAGGAATATGTATATGGTAAAATTAAATTTTTAGTTTCAATTCTTTTCTGGTACAGTTGATAAGCTTATAAAACCATCACCAGTTTATAAAAGTATTTGCTACATTATATGCATCTGACTCCTTTGTCTTTGGTTACTTAATTTGGAGTCAAGGCTGAGAAAGTGTGGTCAAGGTGCTACTGTCATGGACCATTTACCTTTGTTCTATCACAAAGCCATAACTTTTACTAACTCTAGCCAGTTGTTTCAAAAGTGCTGACAGAAAGGATTATCTTGCAAGAAGAAAAACCTTTGCCATCACTGGGAAAACATACAAAGAGCAACTCTGTAAATGACAGAGTAATAGTATTATCTTTGGTGTAGAGCATGTGGGTGACTGCACGGTTGTATGGGGTAGGGCAGATGGATGTTTGTTTTTGTAATTACTATGTTTTACATTAATGGCACCAATTGTTTTTTTTTAAAAAGCAACAAAGGCTCTCTTTGAGAAAGTCCAAATAGTTTAATATTGATTTTTTATAAATAAGAGATACTGATTCTATGACTCTGATGCAAATTTTATCAGAAAAACACATAAAATAAACAACTAATATTTTACTGCAAAGGCACCTTAGCACAGTACCAGTGATAGTTGTGTTGAAAATATCTGATAAAAGGAAGAAATAACACTTACAGAATAGGATTCTAAAGTAGATGGATTTCAGAAGTCCCTTAAGTCTCTTATTAGAGAGAGTCTTGTACTACTGTTATGGAAAATAATATGGAGGCTCCTTAAGAAATTAAAAATAGACTGACAAACTGTCGTCTCCAGGAAGACAGCAGCTGACGCCTGGTCCAGAAGGCCAGGGGACCCAGTGAGGTGTGAGCGGTGGGCTTCCAGTCAGGGTAGTACCGTAGGTGAACATGATACTGGCCTCTTCCCACAGCACATCAAAATTACAACTAAACTACATAGCAGCTATCATTCAGAGCTACCTGAAATCAAGCCAAATGAAGTCCTACAACTAGGAAATTAAGGGAGAAGCCACATGGAGACTGGTAACAGGGGTGGAGACATGGAATGGGCTGGTTCCAAACCAAATTGTGGTAGATGAAAATTGGGAGGGACATCTCAGCTGTGGAGGTCCCCCTGGAAGAATGAGGGGTCCCAGCTCCACATCAGGCCCCCCCAGCCCAGGGTTCCAGTGCCAGGAAGAGAAGTCCCCATAACTTCTGGCTGTAAAAACAGGCCAGACTGAATAAGGCTGAAGGACATGGAGGCTCTTGCAGTCCCAGAGGGTTCCTCTTAAAGTGGCCCTGTGCAGACTACTCTGAGCTCCAGCATGGGGGCAGCAGCTTGAGGGGCACCAGACATACAGGGAGGAAATGAATTGTCCAGTGTCGAGGCAAGAGCTGGGGGATGGGGGGCAACTTTCTCCAAGACAGAAGTGCTAGAAGAGGCTACTGTTTCTTTGATATGCCCCCTCCAGCCCCTACCACCCACAGAGCTGGCAGGCAAGGTGCCATATGTAAGTCTCCATCAACCTAGCTAACACTGTTCGCCCTGCCCTGGTGATTCCCTGAGACCCCCACCCCACCCAGCTTTCAGGCCCACCCAGTGTTTCCTGTGGCTTTTCTATACGAATGGCTTGGCTTGGCTCATGGCTTCTTATTTTCCTAAAACCTCTCAAATACGCATCTGGCCTCAGTGAGCCCCGTACCTCTCACTAGGTAGCCTCAGCCTGGTACGAGCAACGGCCTGTCTTGGTTCACAGCTTGGCCTCTCCTAGGCCACCCAAACCCCAGCACAAGTAGCAGCCATCTGCAGGTCACTTTGTAGTTCATACTGGGTGACTCTGGGACAGAACACAGGCAGTGGCTGACCTTGGCCTGCACCTCCTGGGGGTCCCAGAACCAGCTCATTCAGTGAACAGCTTCAGACAACACTGAAGCACCACCACCAAATCACCTCAACAAGCAACACATTCAAGGGGCAGACTCAGTGGGCACCAGAGACCTGCTGAAGTAAGTCCTGCTCTGTGAGGTTGACCTTTGAACAGCTGATCCTCCATGGTGGCCAGAGGTTAATGGGCACAGCTGATTCTCTCAGCTGACTGGCATGGGAGTAAATTCTTCCTATTCGTGTTCCAACAGCAATCAAGGCTCAAATGCAAGAGGAGAGGATACACAGCCCATGTGAGGGCATGGGGAATGCCACTCAAGTGCCCAGCTTGGGTGATTGTGGAGGCTGTACCACTAGAACTATAGGACACATACTATATTAGGCCACTCTACCAAGCCTGGGGGGCATAGCAGCTCTACCTAATAGACAGAAACAAACACAGGGAGGCTGTCAAAATAAGGAGATAAAGAAACATGGCCCAAAAGAAAGAACAAAACTCCAGAAAAAGAACTAAACAAAATGGAGACAAACAATCTACTGGATGCAAAGTTCAAAACACTGGTTATAAGAATGCTCAATGAACCTACAGTGAAAACCTCAACAGCATAAAAAGGACCAGTCAGAAGTAAAGGATACATTAACTGAAAAGGAGAATAATTCACACAGAATCAACAGAAGACTAGATGAAGCTGAGAATCAAATCAGTGATTTGAAATGTAAGGAAGCAAAAAATACCTAATAGGACAGCAAAAAGAAAAAAGAATAAAAAAAAAAAGAGGATAACATAAGGAGCCTCTGAGACAACTTTAAATGTAGCAACATGTGCATCATGGGGGTACTAGAAAGAGAATAGAGAAAGCAAGAAATTGAAAACTTACTTGAAAAAATGATGACAGAAAAGTTCCTTAACCTGGTGAAGAAAATAGACATACAAATCTAGGAAATTCAGAGAGTCACAAACAAGATGAAACAAAGGACACCCACACCTAGACACATCATAATTAAAATGAAAAGGCTAAAGACAAAGACAGAATCTTAAAAGCAGCAAGAGGAAAGCAGTTAGTTACCTACAAGGGAGCCCCCATAAGACTGTCACCTGATTACTCAAAAGGAACTTTGAAGGTCAGAAGAGATTTGGAAGAGATGAAAAGGATCTACAACCAAGATTACTGTACCCAGCCATGTTATCATTTAAAATTGAAGGACAGATAAAGAGCTTCCCAGACAAGAAAAAGCTACAGGAGCTCATCACCATCAAACCATTATATGAAATGTTAAAGGGTCTTTTTTAAGGAGATGAGAAAAAGATAAAAATATGTACAATAAAATGGCAATAAATACATCTGTCAACAATTGAATTTTAAAAACCAAATAAATGAACAAGCAGAACAGAAACAGATTCATAGATAGAACATTTTGATAGTTGCCAAATAGGAGAGTTGGGGGCTGGGTGAAAAGGTGAAGTGATTAAGAAGTACAAATTGGTTGTTACAAAACAGTCATAGGGATGTAAAATACAGTATAAGGAATATAGTCAATAATATTCTAATAAATATGTATGGTGTCAGACGGGTGCAAGATTACCAGGATGATCACTTAGTAAGTTACACAATGTCTAATCACTGGGTTGTACACCTGAAACTAATATAATAGGGTATGTCTACTGTAGTTAAAAATAAAACATTAAATTAAAAAAGAAATTAAAAAAAGAACTATAATATGACTCAGCTACCGCACTTTTGGGTACATACCTAAAGGAAACAAAATCTCAAAGAGATATCTATACTCCCATGTTTAATGCAGCATTATTCACAATGGCCAAGGCATGAAAAACAGTTTACACACACGTGCGCGCACACACACATGTGTATATACAGGGTCCAAAACAAATAACGCCCCTTTTTTATTACAGAATCTTTTATTAAAAAATCATAAGCACATAATTCTGTAATATAACTCTATCACACTCAAGCACACCATATGACATTTTAGGTGAAATGTTCAAATTAAAACTATAAATTATTACACCCATATTATTATCCTACCAACGATACTCAAGCAGGCCTTACTTCTGCCAGACCCTGTGTGTGTGTATGTGTGTATCTATGTGTGTACCTGTGTGTGTGCACGTGCGTGCGCATGTGTATATTTTTTAAAGAGAAATCCTGAGTTTGGCACCGACATAATGAACCAGGGGCATTATGCTAAGTAAAATAAGCCAGACAGAGAAAGATAAAATACTGGATGGTATCACTTTATATGTGGAAATTAAAAAAACTCAAAACTCAGAAATAGCAGTATGGTGGTTAGAAGAAGTGCAGAGGCTGATAAAACGGTTGATATAACTTTCAGGTGTAAGGTAGTATCTAAGGACCTAATGTAGAAAATGGTAATTATAGTTGATAGTACTGTACTATACCAGTAAAGTTTGCTGAGAGAATAGAACTTCAAGTGCTCTCACCCCCCAAAAAATAGTGTGAGGTGGTGGACATTCAATTAACTTGATTGTGGGAATCCTTTCATCACATATATGTATATCAAATCATCATGTTGTATACTTTAAAATTTTTATTTGTCAATTATATTAGCTATGAAAAAAATAAGAAGGAATCTTACCTACTAGTAGTTATAAAGATACTACTAATTTGTAACATTCAGGGCTAGCAGAGGTCTCCACCAATAAAGGTGAAAAAAAGCACATGTCCTGTTTTTACCTAAGTCTAATAAAAGTAATATATTACTTTGCTCATAATTACCTAGACCTGAACTATTTAAAGATATTACTGGATGAAATCTATTAACTACAAAAGAGCGCACTGATTTTTTCTTTAAGCCCAGGTTTTAGCAGAATATGGTTGCATAAAACAATTCTACACCTTAAAACAGTTAATTGTCTACCAAAACAAATAAGCAACCTAGAACTACCAAAAAAATTCAAGTATTACCAGCAACACCACATTATTTGAATCTCCAATATGTAGTTACCATGACTTCACTAACCAGAAAGTCTTAGCCCAGCAAGTCTCACTATCACTATAAGCCACACGCGACAGCAACTTGTCTATTATTATAGTGGTGTGGTTCTGAAACTATAAAATCATATAAAAGTTACTTTAGAATAATCCCGTTGTTTGGGTACTTCTGCTATTTGGACTCCTAAATGAATAATTTCCTATAGTAATGTAATACCGAGGGAAAAAATGGCTTTATATTCATGTACTTTGTCTCTTTTAACAAACACATGTTTTCAAGAAAGCAAACTCTACCACTTCAAAAAAGTTTTGAAGCCACAAAGGTCTATACAGGTAACATACTACATAATCTAATTAGGGTTTCAGGTTTAAAGGTCAGAGCTAGTTTCCTTAATTTCGTCTTATGAGAATACTTTAACATTCATAGTCAAACACAAAAGAAATTCTAAGTCTAACTCCAACTTCACTTTATAACATAACAGTAAAGTCTTTAGGACAACAAAACTTTAAGGCTTAAAGCTAATTTATTTTGTTTTAATACCTGCTTCGCAGCTTTCTTAGCTTCATGTTTCCTTTGATTTTTAAGAGCTGTTTTTGATAATGGCTTATCATTTCCTGGCTGTGGTTTCATATTCTGAGGTGGTTCCTCCTCATGCTATGGAAAAATGTAAAATAAATGATTTTGAAATAGAGTCCATGTTTCTAAAAACGCATACAACAAATTACAAAATTTTGCTAATATGGGATAAATGTATTTTATCAAACTTAAGATCACCAGCAAAGATTTCACAACCCTAATTAGAAGTAGGCACATTCCAACTTCAGGATAGATTTAATGAGGATCTTCCTACTCATAGATATATCTTACATAAGAGCTGGCAAAATTCACTTCAGTTTTGTTTAAACAATGGAATTTTTTTAAGTATTACTACTGACACAGGATTCTTATGGAATTAGATACCAACAATAAATAGTTTCTTCTGCAATCTTTTTGGATCTGACTACTGCCAACAGAAAGCCAGTTTCCTTATTTATTTTCTTTGCACTAAGAATTACTTGCTAGATCTTTTTTTAGAAAACCCTCACCTGATATGTTTATTGATTTTAAAATGAGAGAGAGAGAGGAAAAGGCAGGGGTGGGGGGAGGGGGGAAGGGGGAGAGAGGGCGGGAGAGAGAGAGAGAGAGAGAGAGAGAGAGAGAGAGAAGCATCAGCTGGTTGCCTCCCGTATGCTCCCTGACCAGGGATCAAACCTTCAACCTAGGTGTGTGCCCCGACTGGGAATTGAACCTGCAGTCTTTCGGGGTACAGGATGATGCTCCAACCAACCAAGCCACCTGGCTAGGGCTATTTTCTAGTTTTTTTACTTCCAAAATCAGGGGTTAGAAGATAAAAATAAAAGCAAATAGAAAAACCAAAACAGAAAAGTACATCAAATAGAAAGGAATAAGTAACTGCATAACTATAAATCCAGGATTAACATAATGAAGTGGCTTACAAAAACCTAAATAGCTTACCAGATTATACAACAAAAATAGACAATAATTTCCATAATCGGATATTTATATAACCATCTATCAACTATATTCCACAACAGAAAGAGGGAGAATTAAGTATAGAATCCAGAAGCATCTAATGTAGAACATGGTGATTGTGGTAAATAATATTGTATTGTATATGAAATTTGCTAAGAGTAGAATGGAAATGTTCTCACCTTAAACAAAAAAATTCCTCTACTAATTGATTCTCTCTGCATTGTTATTAGCTTAGTGTTAACTGTCTCTTAGACTCTGTTACACTTGGCACATCAAAAGGATCAGATTTCCATGAAGTTTCTTGATTACTAGGTCTCAGAACTGTGTTATATTTGTAGTGCTATGAGGAAATGGGCAGGGCTCAAACATTTACGATACAGAGGCATAAATAAGAAACTACAGTGATGTTATATTAGCAGTTGCATTATTTCAGGTCATCAAAGTTCTGTGTCCATACATATCCTACTTGAATCAACGGAATATAGGGTGGGGCAAAAGTAGTTTTGAGTACCCAAAACACAGCGTTTATTCTTGAGTTACTATTTATTAATTATTGTATTATTTTCCATATGAACTGTAAACCTAATTTTGCCCCACCCTGTATATAAAAAACCACATTGTAGAACAGAGAAAATTGGAGAGCAAGCCTCTGTCTCTTCCTCTTTTTTGGTCTCCACTGCATACAATGTGAGTTAAGACATCCTAATATGTGCTGAACATTATTTTTATACATCAAAATTCTTTCAATAGTGGGCTCTTCTACAGTGCTGTGCTCTGGCTCAAAGTTTCTACTAATGAGAACTTCCAAAAACAACAAAGCAATTAAAAATGATGCAAGAGAGACTGAGTAACAAACCTCTTCCACACCATAAGCACCACATAGCCACTGACAGACTTTCATTTAAGACAAAAAAAAAACAAAAAACAAAAACGACACAACTACTATACATCATGAGCTTTTCTGTCTGTAATACTATGTGTCCATTGTACATAATTTCATTATTACTAATAAAATTTGTTTCTTCAGTTATATCAATTATTATGTGAGTTTTTGATAAACATAAAATAGAAGTGAAGGTTTTTTGGAAAGCCAAGAAATACTTTCTAAGTATAATTTATATATACATTTTTACTTATTAAAAAAGTAATTTTCTTCTTCAAGGGAAAAATCCCAACTCCTCTTTTTTTTCCTTCTGCTATGTAGCTCCCCCTCGTTTGTGAAATGATCGACTAGAACATCTTTGTTTCTAGTAATTTCTTGACAGTATTTTTCTTTGTCATTTATCTAATTTCTGGAATTAGATACAAACAAAAATTTCTAATTAGTGGTTACTTTGACTAAAATGATTTGTTAGGATCACATAATTTGCTTTTGTCACATACAAAAGCAAAAACTTAGTGAAAACCTTAAATGTTAAAAAATTTTGGTTTTAAGTTCTTACCTACTTTTATCACCATTTTCAAACTATAATCTTTCTACATTAATTTCTCTACCTTCCTCCACCAAAACAAACTAGTTTTATGGATCAAAAAATAAGACTATACACTAATTCATAATTTCTTCCTCTTGTGCTATCTTACGCAGATTTAGAAAACAGGATAGGTCAAGATTACTCTTGTTTTTATATTAGGTAAGAAATATTTCAATATACATGGGACAAATTTAAAGACTACAATATACTTTCTTTTTTGAGCTAATAAAATATCATAAATAGGGCTTAATTTGTTAAATAAGTTTTTATATATATTTACTAAACAACTTAATATAACAAAGATGTTTAAACAGAACATTTCAAGAAGTTGCAGACCACTGCTACATTTTAAGGAATAGGAAGGTTGTTATTTTGTTTTGAGAGGATTCGGAGTGGAACAAGGAAGGCATAGGAATATTTTATCCTTTTTTTAAAAGATTTTACTTATTTATTTTTAGAGAGAGGAGGGGAGAGAGGGAGAGAAACATCAATGAGTGGTTGCCTCTCACATGCCCCCTGCTGGGGACCTGGCCTGCAACCTAGGTGTGTGCCCTGACTGGGAATAGAAATGGTGACCCTTTGGTTCTCAGGCCTGTATTCAATCTGCAGAGCGACACCAACCAGGGTGAACATTTTATCCTTTTAAAAAGTATTTACTTCCTTGAGTGCCTAATAATTAAGTAACTATATATCCTGTTTACCTGGGCCAGTTCTAGTTTACGCCTATTGTATTGCCACCTTTCTAATAAATAATAGAAAGACTTTACAGAGCAACTTTACTCCTTAACATCATCCCAGAAACTCAAGTCATTTATAAATGCTTCCTCCTGAGTTGAGCCCTGAAATGCTAACATTTTAAAGCAGATAAGAATCTGGCCAGTACTCTGGTAATAACTTTACAACAGAGGTAGAAACTGATGGCCTAAGGACGGCAAACCTGTTTGAGCAACAGTATTTAGAAATAAAGAAATTTTACATAAACATCTAGGCTTGAAAAATAAAATATTTCGGCAAAGTGGGCCTAAAATCTCCTATGGAAACAATGAGTGGCGGCCGTGGAGCTGTTATGGCCTTTAAGGAGGGCATGCTCTCTTCACGCCACCGTTCTCTCCCAGTCACCACTGCCTTACGTTACCAGCCTAACCTGAGAGGCATTTGAATTGGAGCCCATGATCTACAAAGCCAGTAGGCTATACTCATTATCTTTCTCAGACATGCAAAATGTGAATTGTTTCAAATTAACCTCTTTGTCAACTTAATAGGAGCTGTTCACCATTTTCAGCAATACGTTCTTCATGGTTTCTACCCTTGAGTTTATATTCTAATCAGGTACTAAGTAACATGAGAACATCCCTGAGGAAAAAAAAGGTCTAGAGGACTCCAGACACTGAAAACCGTTTCCTACCAAAGTAGTAAAACTTGACTTACCAGTTTAGAATTGGTGATTGGTTTATTTCTTAAAGCTGGGGGTCTATAAGCTGTTGCAGCTTTAGGTTCTTCACTGGATACGTCACTTGGAACTGCTTGGTAAGTTATTTTTTTTGCTGGAAATATTCCATCTAAAAATGGCTGCCAAGAGACCTGCCATAATTCTCCATTTGATGGCACATCATACTTGTGTAAGACGGAGCCAGTGTAATGCCAAATCTTGTACCCATTATTAACACGTAACCTGGGAGCACACGTGGCTGTTAGAATATGCTCACCATCTGGGCACCACGCAAAATATGTAGAATCGGAGGCCACTGGTTTAGAAATGAGTTTGTAGTTTTTAACATCCCACACTTCCATTTGTCCCCTTAGATTTCCAAATCCAGCCAGAACTAATATATGTCCATGAGGGCTATAGTAGGCTGCATTACGAGGACCAGTTCCAAAATCAAACACAGGATCACATTTCAAGTTGAAAATTGTTGCTTTGGCAGGCATAAAACCATAAACAGCACAAAACTCAGTAGAGCTAGAATTCCAAACTACATCATAAATGGGGCCATTTTTTGCTAGAAAAATAATATAAAACCCAAATTAGCAATACAGATTTATATGAATATTAATATTTATTAACATAAAATATAATTACGTAACACTCAAACATGTCAAAAAGTAAAAAATAGCCAAAAATTTCATGGTATGTTAAAATTAAAATATTTTTACATGATATACTATGGAAATTAATGTATAATCATAAATTTATTTAAGAACCCCTAATAAATCTTAATTTCTTTTACATTTTCGCGATGTGGGCTCATAGTAGTATAGGTTATATACCACTAGTTATTAACAAACTAGTTTTTATTAAACTAGGTAGTATATGCACATAGTAATAAAAATATAAACTATATAAAAAAACATGCCACAAAAATAAGTCCCTCTACAAGAGGTGTCCAACCTTTTGGCATCTCTGGGCCACATTGGAAGAAGCATTGTTTTGGGCCACACATTAAATATACAAACACTAACAAAAAATGATGAGCAAAAAAAAAAAAAAAAAGTTTTAAGTAAGTTTATGATTCTGTGTTGGGCCACATTCATAGTCACCCTGGGCCACATGCGGTTGGACACCCCTGCCCCACAAAGGCAACCATCTGGTGTATTTCTTGCATATACTTTCAGACTATTTTTGTTGAAATTAAGTCTCTCTCTCCTAAACACATACAAAACCCCCAAAGTTCTACACTTCTGTTGTTTCATTTTAATATTCTGTCTTGGAGATTTTTCCACATAAGTACATTATAATCTGCCCTATACTTTTTCAGTTGCACTGTATTCTATTGCAAACCTTTATATATATTCTCCACTGTGAGTGGTCACAGACAAATCTGTAGAAGTAAAACTGCCTGGTCAAAGGGTGCATACATTCACTTGGTGACATACCACCAAAATATTCTTCAAAGAAGTTGTACCAATTTATACTATCAGTAATTTTTGACAATACAGAGTTCTGCTCACTCTCACTCCTATCTACCTTTGCTAACCTACTGAGGTGAAAAACTATATCTTGTTTTCCTTTCTATTTCTTATACTATAAACTAAGCACCTTTTAAATATATTTATACCTAATTTCATTTCTTTTTCTGTGGACTATTTTTTACTGTCTCATGACTATTTTTCTCTTCAGTTATTGGTCTTTTATTGACGTCTTTGATATATTAACAAAACTCACTTTTTCTCAGATTCATCCCGTCTAAAAATACTTTCCCCCATTTTTTTGTTTGGCTTAATTTATGAACTCTTTTCTTCCCCTAATGTAGAAATCTGTAATTTTTATGTATTAAAATATATCATTTTTCCTTTATGACTTCTGCCTTATTTAGAAAGTTTTTTTCTACTTTGAGATTAGGAAAAAAATAATCTTGAACATCTGCTTTTAGTTCTGTAGATTTAGGTATATGTTTTTGGCTCAATTGCATTTTATTTTGATGTTGAGGCAGCATTATTAACTTTTTGTTTCAAATAGCTAGTTTACCATATATTTTTAAAAAGTCAATATTTTCCACCATTGATTCAAGTGCTGACTTTGTTATACAGCAGCAGCTATGGAAGTCTGGATCTCTTTTTGGATTCTGTTCTGTTTCACTGACTTATTACCAGCCAGAAACAAAGCGTCTTGATTTCAACTGTGTTACATTTTAGTATCTAGTACTGTCAGAATTCCCTCAGCCTACTCTTCTTTTGCAGTTTGCAAAACATTCTTCCATGTTTATTTTTCAGTAAACTTTAGAATCAGCTTCCTAGCTAAAGCAAATCTATTGGCATTTTAATTTCATTTTTAGATGAATTTGGAGAGTAATGACATCTTCATAAAATTCTTATTAAAGGTCTGAGTTTGTTTCTCAGAAGTTTTTGCTTCCCAACAGACCTATACTATTTCTTGTTTTTTTGTTGCTATATATGAAATCTTTCCTTCCATTATGTTTTTTTTTAAGTGGCTGTTGTTAATACTTCATCTATTAGCAGAGATGATTTTGTTCTGTCCTTTTAAAAGTGTATACTTTATCTTTTGATCAGTCACACTGACTAGATCTTTCAGAACGGTAAATAGTGGAAAGGGAAGTCATCCTTGTTTTGTTTCCAACTTCTAGAGAATACATAATTTTGTTTTGTTTTTACAAGTTCAATTAAAAATGAAAAAATTAGGGAGTTGCCAGAATTTTAAAACTGTATTATTTTAGTTAATTTAGCTCATTAAAACAAAAGATGAAGTGCTAACATTCTTCAGTTCTGAAGATAGTGCTAAACTCACTAGATCAACTTATCCTAATAAGTTAAATTAGTCCCAAAGGAACCACGACAATAGAATTGCCTCATTCAGTGAGTTTCCTACTAGCATAACTAAATTAACTAATAGGATATTTGGGGGTAACTGTAAAGTTTCTTAATTAAGAGAAATTTTATCTTAAAGGTTATAAAATATGTTGAGTTTTATCACCTGATCAAGAATTTAGATTCTATCATCTTTTTTTACTCTCATTGTTTTTAATCAAAGGAAGACCACTGAAATACTCACGTAATTGTACTACAGCACTTTCTCCATTTGTTGCAATGTAATGCAGTGTTTGTTCCCCATAGTAGGAAGCTCCTGTTTTGTCAACATCTGTACTCGCTATTACCAACACAGCAGTAGCTATAACAGTAAAAACTTTTAATTAGATTTAAAACATAAATTAACCTACAGGTGATAAAAAAATATATTAAACAATGTAACAGAGCCGTGTAAATTTTCTTTAAATAAGCATCAATACTTTTTCCCCTGTACACATAAGAATATAAGTCTAAACCAGTTCTTGATAAACAAAATGAGATAAAACATATTTATCCTACCCTTTTTATTCCACAGCATTGTAACCTTATCCGCCTTAAAGAAACTTTTATTGGCTAAAGCTGCATGAGGTCCATCGAAGTTGGGGTATTGATATAATCTAACAAATGAAGGTGCACCCTTACTTCCTGGAACATAAACAGCCACCTAAGACACACAGACATAAATCATTTAATTTTTTGAAGCATATAAATTAAGAGGGACATCACTAAAAACTAAGAAAAAGGCTAATCTTATAATATTCCACATGAACAAACAAAAATATAGCAATTACCTTGTATGGTTGGGGTCCAGGTGATAACACAAAATCATTAACTTTTTGCAGATGCAATTTATTTGCAATTGTGTCTAAAAAACAAGTAAATGATGTCAGATTGATGAGAGACGCTAATAGTGGTATGTTAAATTCTGAATATATTATAGAAAGTTAATGTAACTATGTACTAATACTGTTCATTGCAGTTCAAGTTCAATACTGTTCATGTAGGGGAGGCAGAGCCACATAGTGTAAAAAGCATGGGATGGGAACAAGACAGAACTACCCCTGAACTCCTACTCAGTCACTAGCTGTGTGAACTTAGGCAAATAATGAGATTATACAGCTAATTTCCAATGATTGATATTAGTGCCAGGCCATGGTAGGTATTCAATAAATGTCAATTCTCCTTCCTTCAACCTCTGAAATGAAGTAGTTTCAGAGTCCAATAGAAGGTAAAGATGACTTTAGTCTGCTAATATAGAATGTGTACATAAATATTCTATAACTAATTACATGACAATAATGATCACAAGAGTACAAATGGCTGATATTTATTGATTACAATTGCTATTCCAGGCAGTCAGAACCCATATTTTAAACAATATTGCTCACTTAGTTAATGGGATCAGGAGCTATTATATCTCCTTTGTTCAAATTCAGAGATCAAATAGCTGTTCAAAAATAGCACACCAAACTGCAAAACTTGCGCCCCTCCTTTCGGCATCCTCACAAACAGGCAAGTAGTAAGACAGGCCAGCAAGTGAACCCCAAGGCAGTGGGGGCTGGAATGAGTCTCAAAAGCAGGAAAATAAGTATACAGCTATGATTATGTGAATGGTGCTTAAAATGAGCCTGCATGCCACCTTTGGTACTTGTGAACAGTTACCAATTCCTGTTTTACTTTAATATAGTCAAAAGTGTAGAGTCACTAATGGATACACTAAGAACAAAAGGAACTGTAAAACCTTTTCTTGAAACTATTTTCAGTGATGATGCTATTGGTAGTACTGTTAGTATTCTAAGAATTATTAGTATTCTTAGAATTCTATGTGGTTAATAACTAACAAAGCAAATGAATAATTATGTGAATGTGATATTCTCAAACCGTCACCCCTGGTATCCCAAAGAATCAGGATTCCTGGTGTCGGCAAAAGGCAATACAAATATAAGATCAACACAAAACAAAACAAAACACCTAGAAACAATAATCAACACAGTAGCAATAAAAACCCCCTACCCGCAAACTGCGGTCTCTAAATACCATTTTCCACTAAAGGGAACTAGAATGTCTATAGGAATTGACTTATTCTAGGTGTGTAGCAGGAAATAAAATACAAAATAATCTTAGAACAGCTTGTCTTACCATATAGCAAAAAAGTCATTTAAGACTAATTGACCAATGATGGGATAATTAGAGCATCAAAAAGAATAATAGCAATGGGTTGAAACACATCATATAGATTTAAATCCACAGTTCATAAAGATGGAGTTGGGGAGGGGAAGTTAATTGGTTGCAATGAAGACTGTTAAAGAAAGAACTCATTATATTAAAAGTGATGTAGGGAAATACCCTGCGTTTCCCATGTAAATGGTACTGCCAGGTTACAAAATCATAGATGAGAAAATTTCTCGCCCTGGCTGGTGTAGCTCAGTGGACTGAGCACCAGCCTGCAAACCAGAGTTGCGGTTCGATTCCCAGTTGGCACACGCCTGGGCTGCTGGCCAGGTCCCCAGTAAGGGCCGCATAAGAGGCAATCACACATTGATGTTTTTCTCCCTTTCTCCTTCCCTTCCCCTCTGCCTAAAAATAAAAAAACAAAACATTTAAAAAAAAAGAAAATTTCTCTTTATAGAAGTACATGAATACATGAGAGAGGAATCAGAATATCACTAATTCACAACCAAGAAATAATGGATCTAGACATTGCACATGAATGTCAACTAAGCCCCTACAAAATTCAAGACAGTAAGACAGCAGTATGTGTTTCTTGATTAAAAAAAAAAAATTCAACACTGCCTTATGATGTAGTCTTATCCTCATCTCCCCCAGAAAGGAAGAACCTGAAGCTGACCAACCTTAGATCCAAATTATTGGGTTGGCCAAAAAGTTTCTTTGGTTTTTCCATACAATGGCTCTAGAACTAGCTAGTTGTCTTTAACTTTATTTGAAACAATTTTGTTAGATTGTATTGTGACACCTATCATATCACTGTGTATTAAAAAAAAAAATCATAGAACAGAATAAAGAGCTCAGACATAAACCCACGTCTCTATGGTCAATCAATATCTGACAAAGGGGGCAGAAGCATACAATGGAGTAAAAATAGCCTCTTCAATAAATGGTGTTGGGAGAGCTGGACTGGTACTGGATTGGTAAAAAAATGCAAAAAATGAAACTAGACCACCAACTTACACTATACACTAGAATAAAGTCAAAATGGATAAAGGACTTAAATATAAGCCATGATACCATAAAAGTCCCAGCAGAAAACATAGGCGGTAAAATTTTAGACATCCTATGTAGCAATATTTTTGCCAATATATCTCCTAGAGCAAAGAAAATAAAGGAAAAAATAAACAAATGGGACTACATCAAATTAAAAAGTCTCTTCACAAAGAAACCATCATCAAAATAAAAAGGGAACCAACTGAATGGGAGAACATATTTGCCAATGATACATCAGACAAGGGTTTAATCTCCAAAATATATAAAGAACTCATATGACTCAACACCAGAAAGACAAACAATCCAATTAAAAAATGGGCAAAAAGGCATGCATAGACACTTCTCCAAGGAGGACACACAGATGGCCCATAGACATATGAAAAAAATGTTCAACATCACTAGCCACCAGAAAGTTGCATATTAAAACCACAATGAAATATCACCTCACACCTGCCAGAATGGCTATCACGAATAAATCAACAAACGCTAATGAGGAGGTGACGAAAAGGGAACCCTAGTGCACTGTTGGTGGGAGTGCAGACTAGTGCAGCCACTGTGTAAAACAGTATGGAATTTCCTCAAAAAATTAAAAATGTAACTTCCTTGTGACCCAGCAAATCCACAGCTGGGAATATATCATAAGAATCCTGAAACACCAATTCAAAAGAACTTATACATCCCTATATTCATAGCAGAGCTGTTTACAGTAGCTAAGTGCTGTACACAGCCCAAATGCCCATGAGTAGATGAATGGATTAAAAAACTGTGGTACAGTTACACAATGGAATACTATGCAGCAGAAAGAAGGAAGTCCCACCATCCATACTGTCCTACCTTTTGCGACAGCATGGATGGAACTGGAGATTATGATGCTAAGTGAAATAAGCCAATAGGCAAAACACAAATCCATATGACCTCTCTTATAACCGAAATCTAATGAACAAAATAAACTAACAAGAAAAATAGAACCAGACTTGTAAACGGAATAGACTGATAGCTGTGTGTGTGTGTTGTCGGGGGGCGGGGGGCAGTGGAATGGTGGAAGTAGGGGAAAGGAACAGTCAAATATGCATGAATGATGACGCATGGACACGGACAGTGGAGAGGGGATTGACTATGGGCTAGAGGAGTGGGCTGGGTGACGGGCATCAAGGACAGCTGTAATAGAATAAACAATTAAAAAATAAAAACGTATCAAAATTGAATTTTTGTACAGACATTTTAATACTGAAGATGGCAGAAAATGTGCAACATTTTCAGCATTTTATGCTTTATTATTTCAAGGAAGGTAAAAACACTACTGAAATGCAAAAGAAGATTTTTGCAGTGTATAGAGAAGGTGCTGTGACTGATCAAACTTGTCAAAAGTGGTTTGTGTAGTTTTTTTATACTACTGCCATTTTGGCCAAATAATTCTTTGCTGTGGGGCTGTCTTAGACACTGGAAGATGTTTAGCAGCATCACTGGCCTCTACCCACTAGACACCAATAGCAGGAGATAGCCGACATACTCAAAATATTCAAATCAATAAAGTTATTGGTGAAAATGAAAAATGCATCTTTTATTTTATGGAAAAAACGAAATGGACTTTTTGGCCAACTCAATAGTTACTTACAGGGGTTAGATGAACATGTTAAATATAGGATGGATACAATTCAAACCATGGGAAAATATATATGACAAGTAACCTTGTTTAACTAATAAACTGCAAGAGGGAAAAAAGAGATGGAGGGGGAAACTGTAGTTTAAATTGTAATGTGAGAAACCTTACCTAGATCCTGAGTTTTAAAATATGGTAATTATAACATTAGCAATTATTAGAAATTTAACAATGAATAGATATTTTATAATCTGTGATAATGGTATTTTGACTAAGTTAAAAAAATTAAGAGTCCTAATCTGAGATACATACTGAAATATTTACAAGTAAAACTATGTGCTCTCTAGGACTTCGGTAGCAGAGTACGAGCGATGGAAGATGGATGGATGTATGGACGAGGTAGGACTGGCAATGGCTTGACAATCATTGGGACTAGATATCTAATTATGTGTTTAAGTTCTACACAATAAAACATTTATTTGTATCACATAATTTCAATAGCAAATAAATTCAGGAAGATGTTTCAATGTCATAGTCTAATAAAAATTTAGATAATAAGAAGTTATTATAAAAAAAACTTTGTGGTATAAAACTTCCCTAGCATTTAGGTTTATCATAAGTTATCCAAATGAATTAATATAACAGCAATTATTAAAATATATCTTATGCTTATACATAGTATATGTTAATATAGAGTAATGATTAATATTAATATAGTAACAGTATTTTGGATAACACTATGATACCATATAAAACAATAAAAACTATATACATTTATAATAAATTATAAAATTATTTCATAAATCTTTCCATACTGAAATTGTTATTTTCAAAGAAATGAACTTCATTGTTAACATTTCGGGCACAAATAGTTTCATCTTCTGACCACGACAGACACCTACATTGAAAAGAAAGAATATAAAAAAATTTTAGATAGAATGTAACATCACATGTTAACATGCTAAAGTTTGTGATATTGCTTACTATTTAAGGAAAATTACTTAAGATGTTAAGTCAGTAAATAATAGTTTTAGTTAGCATATGTAATAGAAAAGTATTATTCCTTTTCAGTCAAATACTAAACAAAAGAAAGATCAAGTGTTTATTACATTCCTACACACAAAATCCTTAAAGATCCAGATTTTGGTCTGACAAGTTATTTTCTAAACCAATACCAAAGAAATAAGTATTATATAATAAAAATATTTAAGATACTTTGTAAATAGTAAGTATTTTAAAGCATTTATTTACCAATTTTGCATCTTTTTCTGGATGAAAGACTTCAAACATGTCCCAGTTTTCACATCATAGAGTTGTAGGTTGGGAACCCCAGCTGTGCCATCTTTAGAAGCTGCAATAAAAATAAAGCTTTTAATAGTAATTGTCTCCTAACACTAGTAAAAAAAGATTTCATTCTTAGAAAACTCTTGAACAAGATTATACAGATCAAGTACGGGAGTTGCTTTCAATAAACTTTCTGCACTATCTTTAATTATGTATTTACTTATCCATTCCTAAAGCCATAATAATATGATAGCAGTCTAAGCTAAATTTCAGCATTTCTGAAATGAGTTAATTATTATAGATTTTAAGAATACTTAAGAGATTTCTTATTTATTAGGGTTGACAGGGTTTGCTGTTAAGTGGATGAAATTTTCTTATGAAACCTTGTATCTGTAAGTCACTCACAATTATATACAGTTACACACAAAAGCACTCTTGATTCTAAATTTCCCTTCTGTTTTCTTGGAAAAAGAAGATTCATTACAGTCCATGCCTCTGGGAAGAACAAACTCAGGAGGTTTACAATTGAACAAGGAACTATTAAATATTTACTTAACAATATCAACATAATTAGAACATACTTCTTAAAATAAGGGAAAATACTTACTAGTATAAGGCTGCCAGGCTGCCAGGACAGTGTTTTTTGGTGAGAATTCAAGGCAAACTGCCTTTGGAAGGTCGAAGGAGTGCAGTAGTTCCTTGTTAGTGACATTGATAATATTTATTCTGGTTTCAAAAGAAATTACTTCAGCAACAAAATACAGTTTCATAAAAGCCAGCACTATCAAAAACATTTATACCTCTTTTCAAATACAGATCATTCTTTGTTCATTTTTCATAAAAATCAATTTTTGGTTAGTTCCAGAAAATATCCAATAATCACCTTAACTGAAAAAATACATTTTACCAAAGTCCCCTATATGCGGTTGGTGCTGAGAAATAATATGGAATTAGCAGAAAGACACAATAAATGATTCCACCGTCAGCTGAAAGGAAAAGTCTTTAAGTGAACAGTTAACCTACAGACGAGCTGAGGGATATCAAACCAAAGGGAAAAAAAGAGGTGCTAAAACAAAAGGATGGCTTACTTTAATTTTATTTTTTATTTATTTATTTTTGCTTAACTGATAGGCATTCATGTCTTAAAGTTCTGGAGACTAAGAACTCCATGATCAAGGTGCCAGCAGATTTGGTTCCTGGTGAGAGCCCTCTTTCTGGCTTGTGGAAAGCTGCCTTCTCTTTGAGTTCTCACATCACAGAGCAAAAGTGTATTTAAAACTTTGCATAAATGAAATCTGTAACAGCTGAAGAAATCAGCAAAGACATTTTCGATGCCTATTAAAATCTTAGAAGCAATTTCCAAAGCAGGGGTGCCCACCCTGCGGCCTGAGGGTCCACACGCAGCCCAGGAGCGCTGTGAACGAGGCCCAACACAAAATCGTAAACTTACTTAAAACATTATGAGACTCTTTTTTTTTTTTTTTTTTTTGGTGATCACGTGTCACAATGAATTTAATGTGTGGCCCAAGACAACTCTTCTTCCATTGTGGCCCAGAAACACCAAAAGGGATACCCCTGCTCCAAAGAATAGACTGTAACAATTATTGTGGTAAGATGATGACAGAAATTTATAATAACTGTACAATAAAAAGTTTCCAGTTTTTAGGATGTACCATGTTCTGGCCTAACTACTTTGTGTACATTTTTACATTTAATCCCCACAACAGTCTTACAGGATAGGTATTATACTCTCCATTTTACAAATGGTGACACTGATAAATGCCAGAACTAATTTTTAAAACCAGGCTGGTGGTGCAGCCACTGTGGGAAACGTATGGAATTTCCTCAAAAAACTAAAAATGGAACTGCATTTTGACCCAGCAATTCCTCTGCTAGGATTCTACCCTAAGAACCCTAAAATGACAACTCAAAAGAACCTATTCACCCTAATGTTCATAGCAGCACAATTTACAATAGCCAAGTGCTGAAAGCAACCTAAGTGCCCATCAGTAAATGCATGGATCAAAAAACTGGTACATTTACACTATGGAATAATACTACACAGCAGAAAGAAAGAAGGAGCTCCTACCCTTCACGACAGCATGGATGGAACTGGAGAGCATTATGCTGAGTGAAATAAGCCAGGGGGTGAAAGACAAATACCATATGATCTCACCTATAGGTGGAACCTAATCAACAAAACAAGCAAGCAAGCAAAATATAACCAGAGACAGGGAAATAAAGAACAAAATGACAGTAACCAGAGGGGAGAAGGGAGGGAGATAATGGAAGAAAGAACGGAAAGGGTCAAGTCAAGGAACATGTATAAAAGACACATGGACAAACCAAAAGGGGGTAGGATTGAGGGTGGAAGGTGGGAGTCAGTGGGGTGGCAGAGAGTGGTGGGGGGAAAATGGAGACAACTGTTCTTGAACAACAATAAGAAAATAAATTAAAATAAAACCAGGTTGGTGACTTGCTATTACGTACTCTCTGGGATTAAAAAAAGATAATCCATTTTATTCCAGAAGCTGCTTAGAGTTACTTTGTTGTACTCAAGTTTTAGGACACTGGGTTAGGATAAACAGAAATTGGTAATAATATAAGATTACTGCATATTGTTTTAATACACACAGACACACCAGATTTTTTACAACCTTCTATAAAGTAACGTATTTTAGAATTACATGAAACTTCCTTTTTGTAGTTGATAACTTAGTTAATCGTAGTTTAATAAAGGGTGTTTATTTTAATTTTTTAAAAGATCACATATTTAAGGAAAAATCAGTTATAGTTTCTGACTTAAACATGAACTCAGCAAAGACCACAAACACTGTATTTGTTTTTCTAGCGCCAGGAACATTAAATGCTAAGTCCAGGTACAGAAAATATTATTAAAAAGATGGACATAACATATGGGGACACAGTAAAAAGATTCAGAGTTGAATTCAATAGAAAACCATGTGGAGATATGAGTTATATAAAATAATAGTCAGTGCCAAGGTAAAAACTGAGTTTTTTGTAGAGTTACTCAACAAACTCTAAGCTAGTAAAATTGGGTTACCACAAAAAGATAAACAGACAATGAAAAGAAGTATGATAGGTCAGTCCTATTAGATAGTAAATATCTATTAACTTATAACTCAAATAATATAAACTAAAATATGGATTTGAAAAAAATAAAAGCCAAAATCCCACAATAGGTTCACCAAAAAAATGATAATAAGTCACAAGAAAATTTGAGAATACATGCTTTCACTGAACTGAGATTAAGCCCTCAACATTGTGGATAAGACTCAACATAGTTATACACTTAATAATTTGAGAGTAGTAGTTTGTTGGTTGGATTTAATAACTTAAAAAATAAAAATACTCATTAATATTTTTAATTAAAAAGCTAATTCTGCCAGCTGATAGTCATAAAAAGTGAATCAACTAATTCAACACAAACTTTTTAGCATTAATTTCTAAAAACCATTTGTTAATCCAGTCTGACCTAATAGTTGAAAGACTTCAGAATACATTACCACTGTGTAAAAATCAATTTAAAAATATACTTTTGAAAAGAATGTATTTTCACCTTGTAAAGAAAAAACCCCTAAGATTTTACATCTGATTAAAAACAACAAAAGCCCTGGCTGGCATGGGTCTTTGGGTTGAGTGTCATCTTGCAAAGCCAAAGGTTGCCAGTTCAATTCCTGGTCAGGGAACATGCCCAGGGAGTGGGCCCAGTCCTTCATTAGGGTGTGTATGAGAGGCCGTCAATCGGTGTTTCTCTCACACATTGGTGTTTCTTTCCCTCTCATTCCCTACCTTTCCTCTCTCTAAATAAATACATTAAATCTTAAAATAAAATTAACTTTAAACCAAGCAACAAATATTTGGTCATTTTCCGGGTTCTGTGAACTGAAATGCTATACTGACTATGGAAAAACTTAAAAGGACTGGTTTTCTTAGTAAAATTATGAGCATTTAATCAAAATACTTTTTTTTTTTTGCAAGACCAATTTTGTAATCTGATTATTTTATGTAATATAGACTACACTCAATATACTTTCGATTAACTTACAAATAATTAGGTATATACTTTTTTTTAAAAAAAAGATTTTATTTATTTATTTTTAGACAGACGAGAAGGGAAGGAGAAAAGAGAAGCATCAACGTCTGAGATACATTGACCTATTGGCTGCCACTCGTATGTCCCCAACTGGCGACTTGGCCTGTATCCCAGGCATGTGCCCTGACTGGAAATCAAACCAGTGACCCTTTGGTTCGCAGGCTGACACTCAATTCACTATGCCACTCCAGCCATGGCACAGGTGTATACTTTTTTATACAAAAAAAGTATAGTGCTATATGCTAATAGCAATAACTGCAGACAATGTTACTAAGCTCACAGCAAAGATATAAAGTATCTAAATCTAGGGGGAAACAAGTGAAGAATTACTCTCTAAGTGTTAGTGCAGAATTTAAGAAACCCTAACCAATAACCTAGAGCACTATTTAAAACAACCCCCAGATTATTCAGCGTTAAATACCCTTTTTCATATGTTACTTTTTAATTCTAAGTAACTAGATAACGTAGTAACTAAATATCTAAGTAACTAGATAAATCAGTAACTAGACATCTAAGTAACTCAAATGAATCATGGTCCATAAGTTGAAACTAACAACTCTGGAGGTATTCCATGGAAGTTACTTTGGAGATAACTCCTAACTGCATCATGACATCAAAAGATGGACTTTATTAATGACATTCAGATACACAATACTCAAATAATGTCAGTTACGTTTTATATTAATGAGACATACATAAAATGTTATATAAATGAACACTAACTTTTCTCCGTTGCCCCAGGCAAACAAGGTCCCATCCTTACTAAAGGCATAGACTTTGCAGTTTTTCCCAGATTCCCTGAAAAGGATAATAAAAAAAAGTTTAAATAATCATTAATATATTTTTAAAAAATTGGTCAAAAAAATCCATAATCTTACTACTAATTTAATGACCAAGAACTTACATAAATTTTAGAAAATAATTCCAAAATGCTTTTGTCTACCTAAACACTTTATCTCTTAAAATGCAGTGTCAACAACCATTGTAAAGTAAAGCTGGAAAGTGACTTTCTATCAACAGGTCAATATTAAGAAAGAAAAAGAGCCCTTTTGGGTGAATATCTAGCTTGTGTGACAACCCAAAAATGTAAGTGAATGTGGAATCAGCCCTGAAACAAAGAGCTGAAGCACTTAAGAAGGAAAAATTTGTGAAGAATGTCCCAGACCACTTGCATAAAAAACCATGGTGACTAGAATACCCTTAAGTGGCCTAGAAGTGCCCCTGGATTTGAAGAACAAATATCTTCCATGAATTTCTCATGTGTAGAGACAGAAAGCATAACAATAAGAGGATCTTCACATTAAATAAAGGCAGATTCAGGATTCTATATAAAAACAAACTCGTGGAGATTATACTTCCTGACAATAGTCAATCAAATGATCGAAACTATAAGTACTGTATGTCTCAACTGAAGACGGCTACTACGAAAACATCTTCCACTGACAGTGAAGACCCAAACTGAAATGTGTATGTGTGCACATGTAGATGTCCATGTGTAGTCACAACATTAGATCAGAACTTCATGGCTGATCAATATTTGAATTATTAAGTAACAGTGTACTGAGAACTAACCAGTACATCCCCTTTAAACTGGTTGCTATCCTTACATCAATTCATCTGAAGATGACATATGTGTTTCTGCAATCACACAAAAGTGGTAGCTTATACTCAGTTTGTGGTTACCAAAATATTATTTTTTTCTCTTTTACAATAAACAGCTATGACCAAGATGTCCTTGCTTCTGTACTGTGAAACTCATTATTTCTGAATATTAAGACAGAATTTTACAATTATCATATTCAATTCCACTTAGGTTTAGGCCTATTATTCCAGCCTACTGAGATGTATTTATATCTTGATTTTTCTGTTTTAAAACATTGGTTATTCCTTACAGTTTTATGAAATGTATAAATTATAAAATATCATCTTAAACTATCATCTAAATTAAGTATTTAAAATGTTGAATAAGCTCTGAACAAGATCCTGTGGCTCACCAATACTCCTTTCCTCAAACTAAAATCAACTTACTAAATCAGCTGACTTCACAGCTCTTAAACCAATGACAACTGTGCCGTTATCATGACCCACCCAAAAGACTTAAAACATTTCTCAGATACTTTGCCAAAATCATGTTCATAGATCTATTCTGATGTATCTGGAAATTCTACTCAAAAAGGAAAGAGATAAGCTTAAAACAATTTGTTCTTAACAAGCTCATTTTGACTCCAATAATTACCCCTTCATATCATGATTATAAATTGTCCTTTTAATAACTCATTCTAGAATTGTGTTTAAGGTTGAAGGCAAGCTTACTAGACTAGACTATAGTATCCAGAATTTCATTCTTTTCTGAGTCTTGGCAATTGAGAAATTTTGTTTATTTCCTTCTGGAATAATTTTTTAAGTAAAATATTTCAAATATACACAAAAAGAGAAAAGTATGATAGTGCACCCATGTTCCTATCACCAAGCTTAAATAATTATTACCTCATGGCCAATTTTGTTTAATTTACTCCCTGCTTTTATATTTAATGCCAGAATATTTTAAAGCAAGACAAGAACTCATATCATTTTAGGCTATACTTTAGTATACATCTCTAACTGATGAGGACATTTCTAAAAAACATAATCACCACCATGCTACCTCATCTCACAAAATTAACAATAACTCCCTATAACCATTTAATACCCAGTACTTAGATATCCAGGTTTTTTAATAAGTGCCTCAGGTCATTCTAATATGCAATCAAATTTGAAAACCATTCATCCGCAAGCTTGATTAAAACAAGGTTTTTTGTTTTGTTTTTATCCTCATAGGCGGTAAGTACCATGTAGGTCCTATTACAACTCACCAGGAGACACGTAACGTCTCCTTGTTCTACTCTTAGCGATGCTGAGATTGTACTGGACTCGTCATGTACCTCCTCAGTTTCACCTAATCCTTCCTGGTCCCAGGCACCAGCCTTTCAGTGAAAAGACCTGGCTACCTCATCCCCAACACCACTGTCGTCCCATACTCTTCAGAAGTGAGGGCCATACGTCAGCACGGCTCCCATTATGCCAACTGCAGTAGCAGAAAGAGGAGCTCTGCATTCAGATTCAACCCTAACAGACCAAGAGAAGCTGTGGTTGCAGGTAAATTTCTTACCCTCTCCACAAGATTGTTTGGAGGCATAGTGGTCCTATATAGCCTCTCTATAGACATTTTGCATGACCAAGCAAGCTGCTTGTATTTTGGGAATCTGTGGTCAGCTCAGTGCACCCCATGTCGTATTTGCTTTCACTTCCTCAGCTCATTCCCTTTCCCTCTCATTCTAGACGACTTGGATTGCAAAGCACAATGAAGTGCAGCACAAAAGCTTTGGCATGGATTCTTACTTTCTAGACTAGTGCTTTTCAAACATCAATGTGCACACAAATCAGCTGAGGATCTGGTTAAAGTACAGATTCTGATTCAGTAAGCTGGGTAGAGACTGAGGTATTACATTCTGCTCTGGCTCAAGGTGACACCAATATGGCTAGTCTTGGGCCTATGCCTCCATAACAAGATCCTAGAGAGCTGGTTCTAATAAAAATTGATCAATAGGTTCAGGTGATGTCAGCCTAATTATAAAGGTCCCCATTAACAATTCATCCCCCAGTTTCAACATCTTTTAATGATCGTTTGCCTAAATCAGTGCTTCTCAAAATGGGGTCCCCAGACCTGCAAGATTAGCATTACCTGGGAACCTGTTAAAAATCCCACGTCTTGGCCCCTACCTCATATTTAAATCAGAACATCTGGGGACAGAACAGCAATCTGTGTTTTAACATTCTCTTCAAATGATTCTGATGTATACTCAAGTTTGAGAACCACTGATACACAATTTCTTTAGAATTACAGAAGAGCGATTATCTAACCCCATCATTCCTTCTGCACTAACTGGAATTCTTTTATAAAGAGGTTTTCCTCATCAACAATTTGATTTCTTTGAAAACGTTTGTACAGGAAAGGCAAGATAAATGCGGATTCCTATTTATTGATTACTTTTCAAAATAATGAGCAAGGACCACATCAATCTTTGATGTTGACCATTAAGTTTTGCAGAAAGGGGAATTTTGAGGAAGTGTTTATATTCTTGACTTGTCCTAATCCTTTTAGTCTTTATTCTTCTTAATGCTCAAACTTTCTCATCTTAGGCTGGTGTGAACCTCTTCAAGCTGACTCCTGTGACCCTTTAAAAAAACTCCACTGCTTTCTGGTACTAGGTGTTTCCAGCTCAGCTTGCACATTTTCTGCCCCAAGACCAGCCAGCAGTCATCCACTTCTCCAAGGAACTGGTCCCTTTAAGGGAAGAATGGTGTTTACAGGTGTTTAAATCTGTGATATAGGGGTGTTGACTGCCACTACGTTATCACTGCTTCTAGGCCTTTTCAGTGAATAGAACTAGGAAATACAAGTAATTTTATGAAACAAATCATGAGTTCATATTGACATATGCAAGTCTATCCCTTCACTGTTATGCTGGAAACCTTGGTTCCTAATGACATTGTTTTATTCTACACTAGATTTAAAATGATAGTATCAATTTTCTGTTAACAATAAAATGGTTGAGTGCTTTTAAGAATTTTTCAGGTCATCATATGGTTATGCCATCAACTTAATATAACGCAAGGTTCACTTGTTTCCATTTTCCATTTTAATCTTTTTAAAATTTAGAATAAGAACATGGTCCAAAGCCAAAACTAAATATATCACATTCATTCACAGACATGTCCCCTGTGTCCTATAACTCTCTTTGCCCCAATAACTCTCTTTGGTTCATTTTTGCTTTACCCATCCCATGTTCCTTTTTGAGAAAAATATACCTATGCCTATCTAGCTGTATATTATATATATTTTTTGAATATTTTCTTCACTTTTTTTACCTTTTTCATTCTGTGATTTCATGAAAATTACAGGCGGCAGTGTGGCTATCATATTTGTAAATTTTTACTCATTTTCTAAGATAAAATTCTTCTAAGCTAGTGGCTTGAACTCAATTACACTACTGTCTACACTTTTTCTTTTAAACATACTTAAGCTATTCTTTTAGAAGCTAAAGCTCCTTTTTCTTGATAGAGTACATGCATTTTTTTCCATTTTCTATTAATATTATACAATATGTCCCAAGAAACTAGTTCCCTTTTTTTTTCAGAATATAACAAAGACAAAAATAATTTAGAATGTATTATGTACTCCCCACTAACAACACTCAACAAAATAAACCATACCTTGGAAACACTGTACTTTCTGTAAAATGTGGTGGTCCATTCACCATGTACAGTCCTTCTGATCCTCGGACTAAAGAAATAAAATGGAAAGAGCATAATGACTTTGTTAATAAATACTTAGTTATCACAGATGTCTTAAATAATAAATAACTTTCAGTCAAAATATTAATAAAATTAGTAAACATTTCTTAGAACTATAGAACATTAGTGTTAAAAGGGCACAGTTTTCTTATCCTAATGCATAAAATCATATAACTGCTAAGAATAGGTAATGCAACAGACTGAATGTTCGTGCCTCCCAAATCCTTTAGTTGAAACCCTAATCCCAACGTGATCTTCGAAGGTGAGGCCTTTGGGAGATCATTAGATCACAAGGGTGAAGCTCTCATAAATGAGGTTAGTGCCCTTTTAGTAGAGCCCGGAGAGCTATCATATGAGGATACAGAAAGAAGTTGGCAATCTGCAACCTGGAAGAGGGCCCTCATGAGAACCTGACCGTGCTGGCACCCTGATTTCAGACTTCCAGCCTCTAAAACTGGAAGAAATAAATTTGCGTTGCTTATAAGCTACCTGGTCTATAGTACTTAGTTATAGCAGTCCGAACTAAGCCAAATAATATCCCTCTTATTTCTTTTCCTATAAAGCATATTCCTTTAGTCTCTAAGGAGACTATTTCAAAAAATCTACTTTTATCTATTTTATAAGAAATCTATGCATGTGCACTGAGATACAACAGTTCATACTTATATTCCTTCATTCAAACAAATATGAAAAATATGAAAGTGTAAGATCACTTTGTTTTCATATTTTTAATTTCATTTTCAGAATGTGTGGATATTGGAATCAGAATTAGAAGCTGAGTCTAAGTTCAATCTTGTTTGTATCAGCTTATTCTCTCAAGTAACTTTTACAAATAAAAACTCAAAAATTTAATGTAGCTGTGCTGTAGTAAAAAGGACATGAACTCCAAGGTGGGCTTTTGTTCCTATCTGGCTGTAGAACCCTGGCTACAAAACCACCTCTAAATCTGTTTCCTAATTTGTAAAAATGAAAATATTAGAATAGAGGGAGGCTGTGTGAGCTTTACATGAAATAATAATATAAAAATATAGTATCTATTCAAAGTTCTTAATATAAGGCATTATTATTCACAATTTATCAAACTAAGAGAGCAACTGGGATTAGACATTCATTTACAAAGTCTGTAATGATACTAATAACCTAAAATACTGTGTGAACTAAATTTAAGACTTAATAAGCAAAAAACAAACAAACAAAAAACCTATATGACCAGATTATACTTTTGAAAATGGCTGACTTAGCAGCTTCTAAAGCTGAACTAATTAATTTCATTCAATATTCAACAAATGCTTATTTGGGGGGAAAATTACTACCTCCCAGACCCTGTGTTGAAATACTGGAGATATAGAGGGAGGAAAATCAGCCTTGTCTCTGACCTTGTTAATCAAATAAGTAGTCAAATATATGGGATTCTATAACTGTGTTTAGTGCTACAAAGGAAAGATATATATGGCTAGAGGGAATAACAAAAAGTTTTTATTTAAAAATGGAAAGTTATGGAACATGTCCTTGACTAAGTAATTTACGTGCTGAGATTTGAAGGATGAATAGCAGTTAACAAAGAGAATAGTAACAAGTGCAAAAACCCCATGGCGAGAGAGAGGACAAAGCATCAGAGGAATGGGGAAAAAGGCCTGTATGCTAGGAGATGGAGCTGGAGAATAAAGTAGGGCTCAGATCAAGCAGAATCTTGGGGCCAAAGTTAGGAAGTTGGTCTATAGCCTAAAAATGGTGGGAGACTTCAAGAGGTTTTAAGCAGATTTTTAAAACCAGAATTGCATTTTGAAAAGGTCAGTTTAGAGAATAAACTGGAAGGGAGTAAGAGTGAACGTGAAAAGACTAATCAAAATGGTTCTGTAGTAGCCCTGTAGGAGAGATGAAGGAAACTTGGACTAGGGTGGGACAATGGAAATGGAAAGTGAAGAATGAATGTTCAACATTTGAGAGATAAACTGACAGGGCTTGGTGACTGCGTTACTATTTTATGAGCTAAAATTCTTGCTAGCAGCAATAGCATAAGAGCTGAAAAGAAAAAGTTCTACGGAGGCCCATGGCCACAATTACAATTGCTTCCTTTTCTGCCAGGTATTTACACATCTTCCATTCTTGGTTACTGGAAAAACTGGAAAGTTGGTAGAGATGGGACGCTCTTGCCTCCAGCTCTAACCCATATTTCCCTTCCCTCCTCCAGGGACAGTTCTCAGAATCACTAATGTTCTACCTGAGAATTAATTAGCTCAATTTTCAGATATCAAATGTAATAGAATTTTTTTACACTCCCAAAATAAATAAAACTAGAAGGAAAATTAAAAAACACTGATGAACAAGATAAAAATCTCTATCCTCATGGAGCTTACATTTTAGTAGAGATGGAAAATAAGTAAACACATAATTGAATTATGAGTTTTTTAGACATTCACAAATATATAACTGGACATCATGTTTTCTGATATCATATGCAGAGAACCAGACTGAGTTGCCAAATTGTTGTGGGTAGCTTGCCCTGAAATAGAATGGAGCTTAGCAAAGTATTCTGTGTATATCAAAATCTAAACTCCTTATGCCACAGCCTACAAGGCTCTCTCTATATGACCTAGTCCTGCATAGCTCTATTGCTGGAATTAGGGATTTAAAAAAAAAAATTTAATCCAGCACTGCACTCAAGATGATTTCAAAGGAGCTCAGTCTATTGCTACACCTTACACGAAACACTAAAGATATCTATTCTAAAAATCTAAAGACATTTAGAAAATGCTTTGTGTCAGAAAATGTTTTTCTAGAAGATTTAAATGCTATAAAGTTTAATTGTTTAAAATCAATATTGTCATTTGCTTCCTGGCCTTTTAACTATTCTCTTACCACATAGATATATCAGTGCTATTTCTTATCACCAAATTAATCACCTGCTGCAATATTCCATATCATACAATATGATTTAGAACAAGCTATTCTTTTCTTAATACTGTAATTAAGGTTTTAACAAACAGTTATTTGAGGGGTTAAAAAACAAATTAGTTTCCCAAACTAGGGAGTTTAGTTACCAGATTTCACTTTAATCCCAGGTTATGTAACATTTCTCAGCCTGGAGAGGCCCCTCCCACAGCTGCAGTGGCAATAGAACACACTGAGTGTGCTCTTTCAGAACCACATGCAGGGCTAGGAAAACAAAATGGCATGTCGTCAGTGTAGTCCCAATGAAGCTGCAGTGCAGTTAGAAAATGTGCCATATGGTGATTCAATCAGTCCACATTTTATTGATTTAACTGCAGGCACAACAACATATGCTGGAGGTGACTGGTAAAAAAGAAAAACAGAAAAAAACTTCCCCTAACTCAGGTTCTTATGTCCTCATGACGCCTGTAAGTAGTGGCCTTGGTCCTCATACTTGTTTTTTTGGTGTTATCGCTGACCACAATGTTTACTTGGGGAAAAATTCCAACTTTTTGTACATTTACTAAAGTGGCAGCTAGACTCAGAACCCATTAAGATGGCCTTCTGGCCGCAAGAGTGGGAACATTCAGGGTATTCAAAGTAACCAGTACAAAGCTTTCCTTTTCTAAATTTCTATTTCATGCCTACATCCCAAACTAACAAGTGAAAAACCCCAAAGGAGTTGCTAGACTAAATGTTTGTGCACCCCACCCCTAAACTTCATATGTTGAAATTTAATCCCTAATGCAATGGTATTTGGAGATGAGGCTTTTGTGAGGTAACATAAGTGTCCTTATAAAATAGACTCTAGGGAGATCCCTTACTCCTTCTGCCATGTGAGGACACAGAGGAAGACAGCTGTCTATGAAACAGGAAGCAGGTGCTCACTAGATACTGTATCTGTGAATGACTTGACTTTGGACTCCTGGTCTCCAGAACTGTGAGAAATAAATTTCTATTGTTTATTAGCTACCAGCCTATGGTATTTTGTTATAGAGGTTTGAAAAGACAAAGACAGAAGTAGGGGGGGAAAACCCCACTTAACCCATACTCTTTCATGTAGGTTATTAACCCTAAATCTTACAAGGCAACACTTGACAGAAAAGTTAGTATGTAACGTGTCAGGTCTTTCCTGCTCAAGAAGCGTTCAGTCTCCTGTGGTTTTCAATGCCTGGTTTTAATGTTTCTGCAGAAGTGAAAAATTTCAGTCAAATTAATCAACTGATTTTTAACACGCATATGTTCACATTCTACATAAATAACCCTTTAAAAACAAAAACCCAAAGGTTACATATGCTATGATTCCATTTATATAACACTTTAGCAATAACGAAATTATCATGATAGAGGACAAATCTGTGGTTGCCAAGGGTTAGAATTGGAAGGAGGTACTATATACAAGGTTAGTATCTACTTTGTGGTGATGGAGCAGTTCTATATTGACAGTGGCAAATACATGAATCTACACATGTAATACATTTTCTACTACCCACACATACAAACTGGCAGAATCCAAATAAGGACTGTAGTTTAATAACTACTACTGTACCAGTGTCAATTTCTTGGTTTTGATAAGATACTACGGCTCTAAAATATATCATCAGACAAAGCAAGGTAAAAGGCCCATGGAAGCTCCCTGTACTGTTTTTGCAACTTCTTAGTCTTAAATTCTATCAAAATAAAGGGCCTTTAAAAAGCATATCATTTTTGGTAATGCTTTGTTCACAATACAGCAAAAAATTAAACTATTCAAAAATTTTTCAACATTTCTCAAAAATATTACATTAAAATCAAAAGTTGAATAGACCAAGATTTTTGTACTAAGGTAAAAAACATATTCCACAAAACAAAAGTACCCATTAAATTAGACAACCTTCTTTGTACATGATGCTTTACAAAAGATATGTCTATTGTAGGGGAACTACTTATCAATTGAATTCATGAAAAAATCATGAGTCATTATGGTTTTGTTCATACAATAAATCTTAATTTAAAACAAATATTTTACTTCAAACCTCCCTTCATAGACGCGTAACTATGAGAAAGTGCTGCAAGACATTTTAGTACCGCGACTTTACTGGATTTATTATGAGCAAATTTTTATACAAATTTAAACAAACAGATATACAAAGTTTATTAGAAGAAACACAAATCAGGTTAATAACAGAATATAAACTATTACAGGGTAATAAAAGCAAAAATATACCCTCAAAACAAACTTTTCAATATTTGAAACAATTTTTTTCTACGTAAGACCTTCTAATGAGGAATTGTAATTTGAAGTGACTGAATGCAAAATAATGAATAGAATGTGGAGCTAGCTTAATAGTGTATTGAGACTTGATATGATTTCTTGTTTTTAATGATTTCCCTTTTTAATCAAAGGGGATCTGGTGATATGTTCTATTACCAAGAAAAATATAGAATGCAACTAGTTCTTTTTATTAAAGGAACAACTAAATGCCAGAGTTTCACACAGAATAACTGTTTAAAAAAAGTAATTATATTAAATAGTGTACATACATAATTTATTTTTAAAATTTACTATCCTTTCCAGACATTGAAGTATAATTTATTGCTCTAGCCTGAATTAATATGAGGAAACTACTGGGCTTCAACAAACAAGGGTCCTATGCGAAGGATATGGTGATTATTATAATACGATACTCTTTCCAACCTTCACATCCACTGAAGCATCAATTTAAGAAAATGACTCAACTTTTGCATGGTTGTCTCGTGCGCGCCCCCTACTGGAGACCTGGCCTGCAACCCAGGCATGTGCCCTGACTGGGAATCAAACCAGCAACTCCTTGGTTCACAGGCTGGCACGCAATCCACTGAGCCACACCAGCCAAGGTGGAAAATGACTCAACTTTTAATAAATTATCTCAATGGCCTCATCTAGTCAAGCTGATTAAACAATGTGGGTTACATGTTAAGGTCACTGTTGTTTTACATGCCTACCATCCAGGTTCTACTTTAGGTGATTCCAATTTTCTTTTGGAAACTATTCAGGGATAAGAATATAATTTGGTCTGGGTGAGCAGATTAAAAATTAACTGATTCAAAGATGAGCAGGAGCCAAGCCAAGCTAAAGACAGCCAGCCTTGCGACTAAGAAAAATGTGCTCTCTCCTTAGGGGCTGCTTAACTGGTTGAATGTAAACCTGGAGCCCCCATGTAGAATGTTAGCCTGAGAATGAATTTAATTGGGAAGAAATCAAGAGCACAGGGATAAAGAGAAACAGATTTTTGGAGTCATGCAAATACTGAAATGCGGCAATACTGAAGCTTTAAGGTTACATACAGTTTTCTTTAAAAATCTCCTTTTCACATTCTTTGGCTTTTTGCCATTTACAGTTAAAAGTCATGACTAATAAAATTTACTGGATAGTCTCCAAATTATTCACAACTCCAAATCATAAGTTTTAAAAAGATTCTGGAAGTAAAAGAATCTATTGTTAACTAAAATATCTATTCTAAAAATGTTTAAAAGATTATCACATGGGCAAAAAAAAAAAAGGCTGGGGGGGGGGAAGAGTTCTACAAAAAGTATCCGTCACTACAGGGTGATCAGATCATAAATCCCTAACTCAGTATGTCATGGTGGGTAGTCACATCCTAAGCATGTAACTTTTTAGTAAAAGGTTTATCTTTGCTCTAAGCAAGCTCTGTCCATTGTGTCTGTGTATCTAGATTAACACACCTTTGAAATAAGCACCCTAAAAAGAGCACATAATCTTTTTAACGAACCTATAATCCAGTCCCTACTTTGCTTTTCCTACCTTCATATAATCTTCCTTAAGCTCCCTCCTTTCAAGTGAAAAAGCAGCTGCAAAACTTAATCCATATTTTGTTTTGTATAATGAGCACCCACGTTTTTGGCCCAAACTTTCAGGAAAAAAAGAAATATTTCATTTTAATTTTTTTTAATTCAATTTTTTATTTATAATTAGAAACAAAACCGATTATTATATTGCAGGGCATTATTTTGCATAGAGATATCATTATTGCTTTGTAGAGTTACTCTTTTAATGCATAAGCATAAAGAATTAAAAACATTTACATAGATACAGAATTAGTACTGCTCATGTATAATGTACATCCTTACTTTTCCCTCAAAAATCTGGGCAAAAAAGTGTGCACTGTACATGGTAAAACACGGTTTTCTCTGGAGCATTTGAGATCTTATTCCCCTGCATATGTAAACAGTTTGGCTCAAACTCTTAAAAAAATTCTCTACAGGTTTGGACATGTCTTATGTCAACAGTCAGCATGTTCTAGTGGAAAAAGAAAAATAAAGGACCATGAAGTGAAATGAGTAATATAATGACCCAACCAATTTGCCATGTGAATCTGACTACTTAACCTCTTTGGGTTTCTATGAACATGAGAATATGATGGGTAAACTGATTAGATAACCTTTAAACTCCTACGGTGTCCTTGATTTTAAGCACTGTAAGAAAATTATCATTCTTGGTTAATTTGACTTTAAATGAAGTGGTTATTTTTCATTAATTTATTCCTCCATTAAACATTTAGAGTACTATTGTTTATCAGGCACAGTAGTCAGTACTAAACAGACAGGAATGAATAAGACTCTACCTCTGCAATCAAGGAGTTCACAGCCTAGCAAAGAAAAAAAGCATCTAACTAGATACTTATTGCATGTGTTAGAAAAAAAAATTCAAGTATATATGAGGTACAAAAATAGCCTGGGGAGTGACTACCTGGAAAGAGGGAGGCTTCATAAAGTAGTGATGTCGAAAATGAATTTTAAAAAATAAGAAGATGCTAGCCAAGTAAAGAAAAATAGGAAAGTCCTGGACTGAAGAAATAGGTTTTTCAAGGGTTTTATTAGCAGTTTAATATAGATGGAGCACAAAATAGGATGGAACAGCAAGGAAATGAATGTCAAGAATTATTCAAGTATAACGGGGAAACTGGAACAGTGGGAAATTCTAACCCACTCTACCATTCTTTGACGTTGTTTCTGTAAATGTTGACTCTGTGCAGTATGTAGCTTGTAGATGTGTGTATGAGAACCCTAGGAACTAACTTCAAAAGATACAGACTCCGACATTCAGGCATCCCGGCTCCAGGAGATTAGCCTTCAATGGTGGAACCAGGATGCTGTGAATGCAGGACGACTAAACTGGGTGATGCACACGGACCGTCACCTGCCTTATTGGAATGGACTGTGTTCATCTGCATTTTGAGAACTTTCCAACCTACTTCCTTGATCTCTTTGTTCTGTTCCCCTATCCCTCCTTATAGAAACCTCTGCCTCCACTGAGATGTGGAGATGGGCTTTGAGACATGAGTCCCCCATCTTCCAGGTAGCTGGCACCTGAAAATAAAGCACTTTCATGTACATCAGCACCTACCTCTCAAATATTGGCTTTCATAGTGGCAGGCAGGTGGGTCTGCGTTTGGTTAAAAGGATTATAAAGGATCCACATATTATGCGCAACAGGATGAAATTTACCTTGTAAGCAGTGAGGAGCCACTGCTCAGATTTTAAAAGGGTTTAAAACTGATCAGATATAAACACATACTATTTTTTTTTAGAGTTCTTGCCTCTGCAAATGGATTACAAAATGTTTTTCCTCTCATAAGCATTTAATATCCCAAAATTGTGAACAGCATACAAGCTACCTTTACAAAGCTAGAGAAAAAATTCACTTAATTACATATTCATGTCTTTAAGCAGTATCTGCCTGGCATATCCTTTAATAAATAAGTCAATATTTGATAAATGTTTGATGAATAAACTGTGGTAGAAAGACTGAATATCAGTGGCATAAGCTCAGTAACAAAGATCTTAAAATGTAGAACGGCAAAAAGTGAAAAAGCTAAAACGATTCCTTACATGTCTCAGGGAGAAATAATCCCTTTCCACAAATTAAACAACCTGTCTCTTAATGGCTTCTTTTCCCTTCTACATAAAATGTTTAAGTCACTGGCGTTTTGATCAAAGCCTTCTTTTTCCTTCCAACTACCACCTCCTTACTTGCTATTCACAAGACACTCCCAGCTATTATCCTAGTCCAGACACTTCCCTGACACCATCCAAGACTAAGTTTATCATCATCTCCAACATTATAAACGGTGCCTTACTTTCAAAATCTCAGGAATCCTCTAATACTCGAATTCTAAAATGCGCATAACCATTTCAGCATCAAACATTTCTAGATTATCTCTAAAATGCTCATTGCATTACATTAATTGTGCCTCCCAGACCTCAATTTCAGCCCTTGAAACATACACACTTCCACAGCTCCACTTTTCAAGTCACTCCTACAAATTTCTTTAAAGCAAGGAGTGCAAAACTTGGTATTACTTAAAATCACGCGTTTTTAGTGATTGGTCATTCTTTTGCGAGTCATGTTTATATTTTTCCTCTTACAGACTTAAATGCTTTCACACTGTCAACAAGGCCTGCCAATAGATAAAGATTCGTGCAAAGCCATGGTAACAAACTCAACTAGCACTTTCTGTCATCTTCCTTCCTCTATTTCTGTAGAACTTGAAGCGGCAGGGAAGAAGGATGGATGGACACAATAGAGGGAAACGCAGTAGGCCAGAGGCAAGGGACCTTATTTCCGATTGCCATGCTTCACCAAGAAACCCAAAAGGCCCCCCGGCTCTTCCGCAATCCAGAAGAAAAGGCCGATCAGACTCCATGGCTTCTCGGGTAGTCCCCAAAGACAAAGACACAAAAAGATACTGCTCTGAAGAAACAGTCCCTGGCTCGTTCAGAACCCACCTGTTAGGAGCGGCGTGGACGGCGCCATCTTGTCCCGGAAAGAGAAACCCAGCCACTCGGGTCAGAGTTCATGAGGGCCAAACCCGGCCCCAACACGTCTTCTCAGGCGTGGAGAGAGCAACTTGGTATTTCCGGGGTCACCAGCCTCGGGGCCAATTCACTTCCGTTTGGAGCCAGCAACAGAAAAGGAGTCCCCATGCGCACGCGCAGCTCTGGGGCCACACTTTACAGAATTTGGGAGGGTTGGGCTAAGGCCCCTAATGCTGCCCTAGCCCTCCCTCTCCCCCTTCTTCAGCAGGCGGAGTCCGCATTTCCGTGGGGCGGAGTTCGTTCAGTGCTGACGTTGGCAACCGAACCCGAAGTAGTTCGAGCGTCGGACTGAGCGGTACGCTTGTTGCTTTTCCTTCCTCTTTCAGTCCACGCTCCTGGCGGCTGCAGGGCAAGCCTATCTCGGTGGCCTGCTGTCCTCCCGCGCGCCCGTCTCGCTGAGCCGGTCAGCCCGGAGTTCCTCAGTCAGTCGGCGGCCCACGCCCCGCTAGCGCTCAGCCCCCGCGCTCACCGCGCTCAGGCCCAGTGTCCGAAGCTAGCGCCCCGCTTGAGAATCTCCTCGTTCCGGCGGCGGCGCGGGCACCGGGAGCGGAGCGTCGCAGCGGCCCGAGGGAAAGAGAGCGAATCCTACGGGTGGCTTGGGCAGGTGGTGGCGCCGCGAAGATGGTCGCCAAGCAGCGGATCCGTATGGCTAACGAGAAGCACAGCAAGAACATCACCCAGCGCGGCAATGTCGCCAAGACCTCGGTAAGGGAAGAGCGTCGCGCCTCCGATCTGCAGTCGGAGCTGAGGCCCGAGCCTAGGGACGCGTCAAGTTCTCCCCAGACCCGGCCGACTGTGGGGGCCCGAGGCTGCGAGCTGGACGCGATGTTGTGGGGCTCGGGGAGGTGGGTGCCGGAGCTGGGCGGCTCGGGAACGGAGGGAAGACGGCGTGGAGTGCAGGTTATAGGAGCCCTGGGTCGGAGTGTTTGTTTTGTTTTTGCATTTGAAACGGTGGGTTTTCCTTTTTGCAGAGAAATGCTCCCGAAGAGAAGGCATCTGTAGGACCCTGGTTATTGGCTCTCTTCATTTTTGTTGTTTGTGGTTCTGGTAAGTGTTTTGGGGGCTACCATTGGGTTGGATGCTGGAGGACGGGTTTGGGATGACGTGGTGACCCGTCAGTGGTGAATCCTAACCGCGTAGTTGTCAACCCACCTGCCGTGAGCTCCGCATAATTCTATTTCATCTGAACCAATTTACTTGTCCCACATATGCACAGAGGGTGGTGCTCCAGAAACTTCTTTCAGCTTGATTTGTGCTCACAGGATATCAGAAAAGGAGGTCAAGTCCTTAGTAATGATCAAGTTGGAAGAAATTTAGACCAAAATAAACAAAAACGTCTCTCAGAAGGAGATAGAAGGTTTTGCAATCCCATTATCAGTACCTTTGCAAAAAAGAAACTTTTGAACATTAGGTACATATGGATGTTCGAACTTAATTTAACATTTCCTAGAATCCAACATCTTTATGGCAAACCTGGGTATATTTTATAGGATAAAGCTGGTGCAGAGAATTGATTCACTGTAAAGAAACGTGGCAATTTAATATGTGACAAATGGTTTTAGATTAACAAAAGAAACGTTTGACATATGGTAGGAAAAAGTCGTTATCAAGGCAGCCTGCTGTTAAGAGTAATAGATTCTTGCCTCTGCAAATGGATTACAAAATGTTTTCTCTCTCATTATAAAAGCTGTTGATATTGAGGTACATATTTCTGTTTTTCACGTTCTGGAATTCTAAAGTTATTTAAGGTTTCTTTTAAACATTTCATTCGCCTGTCTCCTAAACTTAACCAATTGGAAGCTTTCCTGATAAATGGCCAAGAGCCAAGCAGTTTATATAACCTAAAGATTATTGAATCTCAGCTTTGTGAGAATAAGGAAACAAATATATATGATAGGCCAGGCCTTTAAAGGACACAATAGTTAGCAATAAACCAAAATTTTCCATGCCTGAAAAACCTGTTTTGGTACTTTTAAATTCTGAGGTGATTGCTTTTTTTACAGATTCTCTTGGACATTTAGATATAAAACTCAAGAGAAGCTGAGATTTTAAAAAATAACTTACGGACATAAAATTGTTTTATTTAGGTAGGCCTGCCTTCATTTCTTATTACAATGAAGTTACATAGCTTTTGCAAGTAATTGTTTAAGGGTACTCAGGCTGAAACTATCTTAATAAATATCTGCCGCTTGCCAGACCTGTTTTATTTAAAGCATGTTTTAATATTTGCTCTTTCTCTTTACAGCAATTTTCCAGATTATTCAAAGTATCAGGATGGGCATGTGAAGTGACTGACCTTAAGATGTTTCCATTCTCCTGTGAATTTTAACTTGAACTCATTCCCAGTGTTTGATACCCCGGTTAAAAACAATTCAGTAAATCATCCTGCCTCAGAATGACTTTTCATATCATCATTCATGTGTCATTCCAAGGTTTCTTCATGAGTCATTCCAAGTTTTCTGGTCCATACCACAGTGCCTTGCAAAAGCACCACATGAATAAAGCAATAAAATTTGATTGTTAAGCTATAGTAGTGGACCCTACTTATTCAGTCATTTAAGAGTAAGTTTTTTAATGTGGTTATAAAATGGTATATAGCATCAATAATTAGATTAAGTCTGTGTAGACAGGGTCTAGTTATTTTTTAATGCTAATGTGTAAATGCAGTTAGCTTAATTTAAAATTCAGAATCTTACGGTTTTTATATAGCGAGGCACTTTATTACAATACCTTGAATTGAAAGCACACTCCCAATAGGGCCATGTAACTGTCCTGTAATAAGGTGCTTATAAATGGAACAACTATACAGTTAGCCTAAAAATCCTACAAACTTTAGCACCTAGGAAATTTTAAAAGCTAAATGCCTAATGTAAAGGGAGATGCTTATAGCCACAACGTTTATTTTAACAATATTACTTCTATCACACTACCTTGGATTTTGCATGAGTGAATATACTAACCTAAGCTGCCATAAAAAGACAACTTGGCTAAGCTTTTTGTAATTTAAATCAGTCACTTCAGTAAGATTTTGTGGTGGAGTACAGTCAGGGAAGGTTTGTTTATGTCACCATTGATTTCACCAGAATACTTTAATGTATCAAAGGGGTCTACTAAGCTAGACAACATTTTAGGGAAAAATACTACTAAAAATGGATGCATCAGCAGGATATACTGTTGAGTCCAGTGTGCCATCAGACATCTTAGCATGTTAAATACACATTTAACACCAAAAAGGCACATCAACTAAAAAGTTACATCTAATTTGGAAATGTTTTTCTAGATTTATGATTAAAATTCTGTTACGGTTCTAGGTACATCAGACTAAAGTGTTATCTGGAATTAAATGGATTTACTAATAAAGATCTTTAGTCTTCCATTTGTTGTATGATTTTACCAGTTGTGATCAGACTCTTTACTAATGGTAAGGGTGAGTGAGAAGGCAGATTTGGGGTGTTCTGGTACTGTTGGAAATTTAGAAGTATTGGCTATTTAAATACTTAGCCATAACTTAATGAAAAAAGCCTGAGAGGTGTCTATGTATTAATTAATTGGAAAGCTGCTTGTTTGCTTTGTTAATTGCCTCAGGATATTTCTTTTAAAATAAGCTGTTTTAAGAGGAACAGAAGGGAAATCTGCTACCTAGTCTATACACAGTGTAAACCTCAGAGAGAGCTTCTGATGCCCCAAAGTGTGGGGGAGAGTGAGGGAGGGGAGTGGTTAAAGACTGTCAGGAATTGGACTACCCTAGAATAGGAAAGGAATCAGCTGACCTGGGGCCAGCAGGTTTTTATCTTCATTGTTACCTGCCTTTCTCACCCAGGAAATCCACCCTTAATGCTTGTTTCCCTCTTTGAAACAAGTTTCTTGGTTAACTAATTCTGTTTTACTGTAACTTTTAAAATGAAAGTTATTGTTCTAAATTCATAGCAGGTGCCTTATTCTTTGCTTTGAGTCAAACCATTCCATATCAGAATTTCCCTTGGAATATTATATATAATTGACTTTAAGATGTTTTCTAAAATGTACAATGTCTTTATTAATTTGATTGTTAAATTGCTATAGCTAGCAATCATTTTACATATGTAAAGTTGCATTCCTTTTGTATTTCATGTGTAATTTTTTCAATTGCATTTTATATTGAGGATGGATTATGCATGTTTGGGTCAATGAAAACTATGTCTTACTTGATTTATTCTTTAAAAATAAAGTTCCCTGAATATTTGATGCCTTCTAAAAGAAAATGGTTTTACAGACTTCTTATCTGAGTGTACTTTTTATGGCTAATAGTATTATGATGTACTTGACATAAAATAAATAGTACCCAGATGCACAGATAAAAGGTTTATAACTGAGAATAGGTAGCAAGAAAAATATGTAAAAGCACAATGAATTAAGTACTTTTCCCGCCTCATCTCATTTTCATCTGAGTTTGGTTCAAGGAAGAAGCAGAGTTCTTTTGATCTTCCTTCCCCAATTGAATTTTGTATGTCATCTAGTATCAAGTATAGTGTGAGAATAAATGCTTTATTTCAGTTGTCTACATTATCCAATTACTGTTTGTAATTTAGCTACATTTCAAAGAGATGTCAAGGATTTCACTGTATCTCTTGGATTGTATATAATATTGATCAAAATAATTGAGTGGGCTTCCAGAACAAGTAAAGATTTTCATTGTAATAGGATGCATTGTAATGGGCTTTGACTTATTAAAGAAATATGTACACTCAACTACAGGGCCTTGGCTCTTCTCCCTGAGGCTACTGGAGGTTTGTTGGTACAAAGGACTACGATGTAGAGCTGAATTATGTTCTTGGGAGGTTCAACAATTTATTGTGCTTTAGCATCTGTAAAATTTAGAACATCAAATTTTATACTTTGCAATTGTTCTGAAGTTTGATTTGGCATTACTTTTTGTTTTTTCACTTGTTACGGACACAAACCACAACTTAAAGAGGTAGGAGTTGGGTTCAGCAACACATTCTGCATCACTCTCAGAATCGTTCCTTGTCTAACCATAGTCCCGCTCTAGCCACTTACACTGCTTTATCTTCAAGTTGAATTTAGAAGTGCCCTAATTCAGAAAAAGGATTAGCATTCAATAAAAAGCTATAAATTAAGCTGAAGGGAAAAATTCAACTGTCTGGACGTCAGTAAGTCAAAGTAAATTCTTATATATTAGAATCAAAGACAGAAAGGACATGGGAAATTTCCACCTGCCTCACTTTACAAAGAATGACTATTGAGTAACTTGTGTGCTGGGTATAGAGAGAGAACTGTGCATAGAGTCCTAGCACTCAAGCATCTTCCAGTTCAGTAGTGCAGGAAAAGACTAGAATTGTGACAAGTATTTCAAAGGAGAAGTAAAACCAGATAAATGGTGTCTGCCCTTAAGAGAGTTGAGGTAGAACAGAAACTAGAAGCAGGTTTTCTGACTCAGTGTACCCTGTAGAAACTTAGGAATGATTGCAAAACATCCACACAGAACACTTCTGTTTTCATGAGGTCTTTGCTTCTATTTTGAGAAAACTTAAATTTTTTTTTTCATGTGGCTAATATAAAGAAGAAAGTTAAAAAAAAGGACTTCTCCCTTTATGGATGTAGTGTCTTTTGAAAATGAGTTTAACTGACAAGTTTACTACTGGTGTTTCCTGTACAGGACAAAAATACAAAGATCAAATCACTAGTGTTATCTACCGTAACATTCAAGAGTACACTTTTTAATAAGTATTTTGCTTTAAAACTTTGCAGGGATGATGTTAAAAAATTTTTATTTGATAATTTAGAAGATTTTATTTTTAGAGAGGGGAAGGAAGGGAGAAAGAAACAACAATGTGTGGTTGCATTTCGCAAGCCCCCTACTGGGGACCAAGTCTGCAACCCAGGCATGCGCCCTACACTGGGAATGGAACTGGCGACCCTTTGGTTTGCAGGCCGGCACTCAATCCACTGAGCTATGGCAGCCAGGGTACACTTTAGATACCTTCCATAACAAAGGTTCAATGAATAACTCATGTCTGACTTCTTTTCCTGTGTGCAAGTTTCTACTTTGCAGTGCAGTTGGAATTAGAACAAATCTGCAAATGTAAATAATTAAAACTGATTTCAATGCCATTAATTGTATTATAACTGTTTTTTCTTTGCTCAGTGTTAAAAAGAAAGTCTCTCAAACAGGAGACAGAATAATTGATTTTAGAGGTAGAAGGCACTTTAGAAAAGTGCCCTTTTATTTTATACTTGAAGAAATTATGGCCTAGAGAAGTTATCTTTCCCATTACGAATGAACCTGTAGCAGAGCAAGAAAACTGGTTTTGTGGTGACCAACCTGGCTCTTAGTATTTTGAGTGCCAAAGAATTATGATTCTGCAGGAATGTCTCCTTTTACTTCAGGAGATTAAATATTGATCCCAGGAAACTCCATGAGCATTCCATTAAGGTAAAATCTGAAGATTTAGGAAACTGCAGCGGGCTCCCACTGCCATGGGATTGAAATAACCCTTCAGCTTTGATTTTCAGGATACTTCACAACATGGCAACAACCTACCTTTTCAGCCTTGTTTCCCACAGCTTCACTGCATAGACCTGTTCCAGCCTAAAGAGACTGCTTTCATGTTTCGGTTACATTGAACTTTCTTTAACTGTTTTTGTTCATTTCCCCTTCATTACAATACTACCTGTATTCAAAGCCTAGCTTAAATTTCACCTCCTCTGTGAAGTTTCTCCTTGTGGGAATCAGAAACTCCTTCTTTGGTAATTATGACTCTGGACCAGTTAGCATTTATTATACTGTCATGTTTATTAGTTTTATTTCTTAGTTTCTTAGCCAGAGTATGGAATCCTTAAGAACTAATGCCATATCTTTCTATTTCGCTTTTTTAAATCTACTCTCACCACTGCCCTGCCCACCTGCAAGGCTAGTATGAAACTTTACACACATAAGGGGAGTTCACCATTTTAGTTGAGTAATCAAGTGAAAGAGAATGAGGAAAATCCTATTATATCAGAATGGTCTTTAAGAACATGTTCTGGAAAACCATCTACCCCTGATATAACAGCTAGCCCAACTTCCAATCCTGGCAACCTCCGGCTGGGCTCGGTACCAGAATTCAGTCTGCCCTTGGAACAAACTCCCAGGATAGGTTTGATATTTGCAAATATATCAGCAGTGGTATTTGTCCTTCAGTCATACTTGAGGGCTGTTCATAATAAATGTCATTGAGAAAACAAAGTGTTTTATAAAGAAAGCTGATACCTCACCACACCAGTCTGTCTGGTTATAAAGAACATCAAACACACCTGTTTAGAACAGGTGCCTGTGGGCTGTCAGCTGGCCTCTGTCCCCAGTCTTATCCTAGGGCACAGGAAGGGGCAAGGATGCCACACGGTGTGCTCTTCTCCACACCAGACCATGGAACCAGAATTGCTTTGTACTCCTGACACCAGATCCGGTCTCTGGAAGGGATAGCTTGTTCTCCCTTCAGAAATGAATTTTTTATAGTAAGTCCATACCATGTTGACTAACATTTGCGATGTGTCCTGATTACCAACTAGATTTCATACATTGTACAAAGATTCTCAGGGCCTCTCTGGGAAAATGTCATCTACACAGACATGCAGAGCTTGGCAAAAGCAGTTAGTTTGGGAACAGTTCTTAGCTCCTGGCACTCAGGAGTGCCCTTGGACCAGATTCCAAGGCTCAAATACATCTGGGATTGAGACAGGTTAGTATTTCTGACAAAACCCAAATCACAA